GTGGACGCTGGGCCGTCGGGAACGGCGGCGACAAGAGGGGAGCGGGACGAGGGGGAGGAGAGATGGGGGGGAAAAGAAAGGAGGGTGGGAAAAGAAACACGGGAGGGACGGGGCTAAGCGGGCGGGAGCGAGCGGAAGGGATCGGAAGGGAACTCGGGAGAACGAGGCCGGGAACACTTACCGAGGGATGACGTGGCCCTAGGAAATAACGGGCCGGGAAGCGGATGACTCATCCAGGGGACTTAGAGACCTGAAGAAGAAGGGCTAAGTTAAAAAGAAGTTATTGAAAGAATTACCGGCAGTGAGTGGGTCGAGGATAAATGGATCCTAACTAGGAGGGCGTAGAGGGGGCTGTACGGCAACCTTAATAGGTCCGGTTGTTGTGATGTCGAGGTGGTATCAGTAGCAGATTGATTTCTTGCATTCACGAAAGAGATACAGGCAGATGATATGTTTTGGTAGAAAAAGTCGCTCATGCAGCCAGTAAGGTTTTCAGTATTTGTTATCGGTCACTTGTGATTTGTAAACCAGTCGGGCTTGTGAGCCTCAATTGACGGCCATAACCCGCACTTCGAAACCGTTCGCCCCGCTCATACCGCTTGAAATATTCCACAATTATGATTGAACTGTGATGTACGAACGATAAGCGACCCTCGTTACGCGTCGACTCAAATTGCTACAGATAGACGATGCGGTGCAATAATAATATGAATGAATGCGGACGAAAGCAAATACGCTGATATATCGATGATGCGACTACAACAAATCCTAGCGCGGACCATGTACAGTACCGTCGTCTATGTCATGTGGTCGTTTCATATCCAGGGTATATCTCGGCGACCAGCGGGTGAATGAGGGGGAAGGGAGGGTGGGATATGAAGGGAGAGCTGTGAGATGCTTCGTCAGTCTGGGGTTCAGAGCATGGTTTGGTAGGCGACGGCGACTCACCAAGGGGAGGAAGCGCTTAGAGACCGAGCTGCTTGGCAGCGCCCTCGACGGTGCTCTCGACCTCAGAGATGACCTGGCCGACTTCGTTGTTGTCGGGGATGTTGAGCTTGGAAGTAAGGCCGTCAAGGGTCGAGTTGACCTCAGTGACGGCGGCCGAGACGGGGTCAGCACGGAGACCAAGGGAGCTGGCAGCGCCCTCAACGGCACCCTCAACCTCGGAGAGGACCTTGCCAACCTCGTTGTTATCGGGGATGTCGAGGCCGAGCTGCTTGGTGAGGCCGTCGACGGTCTCGTTGACGTCGTTGATGAGGTCAGTCACGACGCTGCCGTCACGGACGTTGAGCTTGGAGGTGAGGCCCTCAACGGTGCTCTCGACCTCGGAGATGACCTGGCCGACAGCGGGGTCATTGGGGAGACCGAGCTGGGAGGCAAGGCCGTTGATGGTCTGGTCGACCTCGGTGAAGGCGTCGGAGACGGCGTCACGGACGTTGAGTTTGCCGGCGGCGCCCTCGACGGTGCTTTCAATCTCGGAGATGACCTGGCCGACAGCGGGGTCGTTGGGGAGGCCGAGCTGGGAACCGAGACCGTTGATGGTCTGGTCGATCTCGGTGAACGCGTCAGTGACGGCGTCGGAGCGGAGGCCGAGCTGCTTGAGGGCGCTCTCGACCTCGCCCTCTGTGGCGCTGACGACGCTGGTGACCTCGGAGGCACCGGGGAGGTTGAGCTTGCTGGTGAGACCGCTGAGGGTCTGCTCGACCTCAGAGGCAGCGGCGGAGACGGGGTCGGCACGGAGGCCGAGGCCAAGGCCGGCGACGAGCTCGTCGACTTCCTGCTCAACCTGGGAAGCGACGTCGGTAACCTGACCGAGCTGGGGGACGGGAAGGGCGGCGACGAAGCCGGCGTAGAGGATGGCAAGGGTGATGAAAGAGCGCATTTTGAAAATGATTGTGGGGGGTGTCTGGTATGACGAGGGAGGGGTGGTTGTGGAAGGGACGCGTTGGCGTTTGGGAACGAAGGAGTTGATGAAAGTCGGTGAAGAAAAGCGGAAGCGGTGGAGCGTGAATCTTTATACAAATCGCCTCCCGTTTGCCGTGTCATCTCTCGCCATCTCGGATGTTGTATGAGCCATGTGGCGACGGAATGATTTGAGCTTCGGCAGTGAAAGCATCACCATATGGAGACGTAAAATTACCACGGAGTGGGGCATTGTGCGGGAGATCCTCCGTAAACTGATCATGACAGGCGACACGGCTCACAAGCGCTCGACCTGCGTTATCCAACATAGCGCTCGCGTCCGCTGAAGGTCAAAGCTTAGGTACTCGGCACCGGCACTGAGCCAATGTTCAGCACGGAGGAAATAACCTCAGTTCATCTCACCATTTCTGTATCTTGCGCGTCATGAGCATGTGAACTCTGTTGATGCGCGGGGCTGTCAAAAGTTTAATTGTAGTTTGATTCCCAGATGCCGGATGCAGGGATGCCATCTTCGTCGTCATGAAACGTTCGTCCGAGATGATAGCTGATGATAGCGAAGATTGCTCACAATTCGCGATAAGGCTGACGCGAGGGGGCTTTGTGAAGACCTTCGAGGACCTTCAAGGTGCTGGACCCAGGACGAGGACGTCAGCACCAGCTAATAGAGGCCATGGAAACGCCGAGCGGATCCAGGTGGATCCCACCAATGGAATCGCTCACTTATCCCACAACCAAAATCAGCCACGAACTTGTCCACGGAGATCATTCGGGGCGGACAGCATGGCCGGCGCGCGCACATTCCGAGGCTTCGGCACGTCGACGTTGCGTGCTCCACGATGACCGCGCCGAGGATGACTTGATAGCTCTTGATAGACAGCGGAAGTATAGTGATGCAGGTGGATTTGTAAGTGCTGTGTTTTTGAGTGGCTTTCTGGTGTGTGTATGCGTCGGCACCCACTAACATCCTCGCGCTAAAGGAGCTGGCTTTGGTTCATCGTGGTTTTCGGCCGTTTGCGATAAGGTTTCGCCATATTAGGGTTGTCCTAGCTAATGCCCACAGCGAAGTACAGTGGGAAAACGAGTGGGAAAAGGTGAGTATCCAACTAAGAAGAAGAAAAGGCGTGCTTGGGTGCATTCCATGTACGTTCTCTAAACATTCAGGCCAGAAAACCTGGATCACAACAGTAAATTAGAAAAGCAAAGGGTTTGCATGCCGAAAACACGTGAAAAAGGGCGAGAATAGAGTTAGAAGGTGTTGGACAACACGTGCAAACACCTTTGCCGTATCCGTCGCCTTGGACAACCGGGGGCCCCAAAAGGCCGTTCGTCGGTAAGGCTACACCAAGCTTCAGCTTTATCATCGTCGTCATGTCCAAGTTCCTCCCGTCTCTTGGAACATTCGCCAAGGTGCGTCGCCATCTCGTGGCTTTCGTTTATCAGTCCGTGCATGATTTCACCGACAGTCATGTTCGGGATAGGGAACTGCAGCGACTGCCGCCGGCCTGGGCACCATAGGTCAGGCTCGCTCCCTTTGCCTCTCCAAGGTGTTTGCTAACTTTAGTGTCCTGTAGGTTGTGGCCTCTTGTATTATGGCCAGAACTACCTCATCTATCCTTCCGCCTTCCCCCCTGGTGCTCGTCTTGGTGCGTTATAACCCATCCTCCTCATGCTCCGCAACCTGCGACTTACATGACGCAACCCCATTTGCAGACGTTCCAGTACCGACAGACTACGGACTACAGTACGAAGACCTTGACCTGGTAACAAGCGACGGCGTCACGTTGCGGTCGTACCTACTCCCGCAGAAGAAGAACCTGAACAACTCGCATGCAGTGGATGTGCCGCATCCAATCAACCAGACAGACGAAGAGGTACGTCTTCCTTCTCTAGTCGAGGGTGTCCAGACGTTCAATGACGTTTGCACAAGTTTGCTTCCACCCGACCGACGGTGATGATGTTCCACGGAAACGGCGGGAACCACGGGCACCGGATACCGCTCGCGAAGGTATTTCATGTGCGGATGAGGTGTAACGTCCTGATGCTTTCGTATCGCGGGTGCGTCGTGCTTTTCTTTTTCGCTCCTCTCATATAATCATGCGACTACCCCTGGCGTGCACAGGTATGGTCACTCGGACGGTTCACCCTCGGAACTCGGTCTTTGCATCGATGCGCAGACGGCGCTCGACTACGTTCTCTCGCACCCTTACCTGTCCAAAACCCCGATTGTGAGGCACCCCTAGCGAGCTTCATCTCATTGAGGCTTATGGCCCCCTTAGATTCTATACGGTCAATCCATCGGCGGCGCAGTCGCCATCCATCTGGCATCTAAGAACCCCTCCAAGGTACGCCCTCGTCCTCTCCACTTCGTCACTCCCACGACTCTCCGCCTATCCTGACACTATCCCTTTACAGATAACTGCTCTCATCCTTGAAAACACATTCACGAACCTTCCCCGCCTCATCCCGTCTACCCTGCCCCTACTCGCGCCTCTATCGTTCCTGTGCCACCAGAAGTGGGACTCGGCATCCAAGGTGCCGCTCATACCGCGGAGCACACCCATTCTCATGCTCTCGGGCGTCAAAGACGAGGTCGTACCACACGTGCATATGCAGGAGCTATGGGAGATTGTATGTAGGCGCCAGGGCACGAAACGCGCAGAGCAGGATCATATCGGTGAGACTACCGTGGACGGCGACAAACTAGGTGAAGGTACGAAAGAGGAAGGTGCGAGCACGGACACGAAGAAGGAGGAAGAGAGCCGATCGGGCACGGGTACAGGGGAGATAGGCTCGGGACTGAGCAAGTTCATCGAGTACGAGGCTGGGTTCCACAGTACGTTTCATCATCCCGTCCGCCTCTTTTCTTTCCTTTCATGGGAGGTGTCCGCATGAATGATAGCTAACCAGGTTCGGTATCTGCTTTTTATAGACGACACGTGTGTCCAGCCTGGGTACTGGGCTACGGTATCCGAGTTTGTAGCAGCCGTGGGGCAGGCGCACGAGCACGCGTCGCGGCTTTAGAAGGTGGCTGGATGCTATGGATTGTGGACGGGCTGGATGTGGACATTTGCTTCGCGGAACGGCTATATGTTTCGGTTCTTATCGTCTGTTTATCGCTATTGTATCATCATTCTTCCTGTGCATTAATGGTTTCTATCATCGTCGCAGCTCCGAACGCGTTTAAGACATAAGCTTTCCCTCATGGGAGATGGAACTACACGTGAACGCCACCCCATGCATCCCTTATGAAATGTGTCCACTAGGGGCACCCGTCCACATCTTCGAGCGATATGCTGTGCATTTGCTGTATACGCCGGACCGTACCACTAGTTGGGCCCATCCGCCATCACTATCACCATGTCCGTCCGTCCGTCCGCCTTCTGTCCACCCATCCGCCATCATACGCACCTCTATTGGAATGCGCCACCACGTGCCCTTATGCGGACACTTCACACCTGTCCATTTTCCAGCTTCTGCCGACCCGACATAAGCGCCCATGAGAAGTGGACAAACACACTGTCCGCAAGTTTCATTGCTATTCTTGGCAGTGTCCGCGAACGCCATGGATGGTGGTCGAAGCATCTTTTGAATGCGTCCGTTAGATGTCTTTGTCAAATTGGAAGGTCAAGTGGCGGATGGATAGCAAGATGAAGTTACCGTGCTCCTTGTCTTTCTCGGGAGAATCGATGGTCTGGTGTCTGTCCGCAAGTCCATTGACTGGATGATACCCGTTATTCGCAGAATCGTCTTAAAAGCACTGGGGTGAAGTCTGGTTTGGTCGAGCGCAAATATCTCATGAACTTTTCAAGACATGGGTTACCCACAAGTGAGTAACATCTTCTTCAGATAATGCGGAAATTTGAACTAAACTTATAACTTGTAAAGAATCGGCAAACAAGCAAAACACCTTCGGACCGCAAGTCGGCTAAGAAGGCTGATGCTGCCAACAAGTGTGTTTGTTTAGCTTTGAACTTGGATACACGCTAAGCGAGCGTTCTGAAGGTCTGCGAAACACCCGTGCGGGTGTCAAGCGTGCAAAAACGCGTTGCCTAAGAAAACGTCATCTAACTCTCTGCAGGCTCAGAGGAGTAACAGCGACAATAAGTGAGATTATTCGTCCTATGACTGAGAATGCATTCTGACAATCTTTTATTACGCAAAGACCCAGACGGAACAGCACATCCAGCTGTCGCTCGCAGGACTCGAAGTCGACTTGTGCTGAAAGTAGGGCATCTACTTTGCCAAGCGAATCGGGTGTAAAACAAGGCTCGACCGCACAGTGGGCGGCTGGTCCTGTTCACGAGGAGCCTTTACGCATGGCTCGGGACGAACATACGGCGAACTTTAAGCTCGTCGGTATGGATTACTGCGGCGATTCCAAACTCGCAGAAGAGTCAAAATCCGTAAACGTCCTCTCTGAGAAATGTATCAGCAAACCACCCCAAGCCGTGGGCAAGGTTATCCGTCAGTTTGTTGATACCAAAGTCTCCACGCCAATGAGAAAGGGGTTTTCAGGGTTCAAGATCGTTTTGTTGGAGCCATTTGTGATAGTGGTTTAGTCGTGTTGTTAGAACATTTAGAGATGCTTTACGTAGTCACTATATGTAGTATAGATATAAGTAATGTTCTGGACTAAGATAGATCTCAAAGCTGGCGTGCTTGTATATTCGATTCTTGTCAGCCTGTAGTGCTGTATGTAGATTTAGCGGAAGTTTTACAGACCTTGATATTGCTCATGATTGACTCATTTCGACACGTCATACTTCAGCTCCCGCGAAAAGTAATGTCGACAAGTTACAATTGACTTTATGACTGGATGTTTAAAAGCTATGAAGTTTGTACCGTACGTAGGCATCTTTTGAAACGCACTGTCCAAAGCTACGACACAAAAGGCTCAACAGGAAATTCATATTAATAACGTTGCATCTGGATTCTGGTTACGGCTTCCAAAATGCCAAAGAGCTGACAAGTAGACGAGTCTGAATTTTTTTTGCCAATGGTCGCGAAGATGTGCGGCGTGCGTGGAAACCATGCGCGGAAACCATGCGCCCCAGGCCCCAGGGCACCACCGCAGACCACCGCGCGCACTCCTCGTTGCCGAACCATCTTTCCCACCCGCCTTTGAGCGACAACTGACGGGGAAACCCATATTGGGCTTCCTCGCGAGCCCTCGTCGTCAAAGTCCTGGCCGTCGCTTCCTGTCGAGAGCACCCGCTCTTTTTTCTCTTCCTTTCGCTTTCGAGTCCCTCACCGACTTGAAGGCTTGACGTGTGCGATTCGGCAGACCGACCGCCCCCGAATCCACGCGACACGCTCGTGCCAGTGGCCTCAATGCAGCCGCTGTCGTCGTGGCTCTCCTACCGCACGTTCGGTGTCGGCGATCCCTTTGACCCCGAGCACAGGCTCGTCACCTCCCCGGTGCTCCCGTCCATCGTCCTTGGCGTCCTGCGTCTGCTCTTCGCCATCTACACGCTCGTTACCGTTTCTTATGTGCTGCACTATACTGTCGCCGTTAATGGCAGCGCTACGTAGTGAGTTCTCGATAGTGTATGTCGGTAATGAAGAGAGGTGCTGACATCAAGATTTGATTGTCCTCATCACCAGCTTCTTTCCGTACTTCACGGATCTGACGTATACCGGCATTTGCTCATACTTCTGGGCGTCGAGTGTTCAGACTCTCGCATATGCGTTGACTGGGAAGAAGATGTATCCACTCCAGAGGTGGCCTAGGGTTCTGCAGGTATTGCACCTCATCCTCTGGTCTACGATTACCACGTTTCGTAAGTGACCAACGCTACTTCATCTGCTTCAACCATCGAATCGCCCTCCCTAGCTTTCATTGTAACCATAGTCTTCTGGGGGTTGCTCTCAGATAGCAGTACCTTTGCTACGCTCTATAGCCGTAAGTCCGTTAAGACCCGCTTCACGAGTCATCACTCAATTTTCTCATGATATCTGTCTAGGATGGTCCGCAGTCTCCGTACACGCAATGAACACCGGCTTCGCCCTCTTCGAGATTCTTTTAACGAATGCAGGCCCAAGTGCGTGGATCAATGTGATACCAGTGTTTATATGCATTGCGCTGTACCTTCCCGTCGCGTACATCAACTACGCCAATACTGGGTACTACAGTACGTCCATCCCCTTCACCTCATCCGTCAATGTTTCCTTATCCATCCCCTTCCTCCACCTTTCCTCGCGGTCCATCTCGTCAGCCTACGCCTTCCTCGACCCAAGGTCCTCGCACGGTCTTCTCGCAGCCTACATCATCGGCATCGGCGCGGGAACGATCATCGTCTTCGTCATCGTACGCGGAATCACCATGCTCCGGCGCCATCTCTCCCGCGGCCGCGGACTGTCCTCCGCCGGTGACGGCCCCACGCACGAGGAGATCGACGAGTGGCAGGAGGTCGAGCTGGCGGAGGTGCCCATCAGTCTCGAGATGCAGGAAAGGGAAAGGGACCGCAAGGAGTCGAACCCGGCTAGTAGTACGGCTGGGGCCTCCTCGGCGGTGTGATTGCGTTTGTGTGTTCTTTTTCTCGGTTGATTGACTGTGTTACTGCCAACTTTACGACCGGTCATGCCACGGACACCGTTTTCCTACGCATCGCTATCTTTGCTTTTCCGCTGCTGCTGTCACTATGACAGTGCTCTGACTCGGCCTGCTGCTCGCTTTCGCTTTTTCCACATACGTCAGGGCTTTGAGAGTGTTTGTTAATGTCCGCTGTGTACGTACATGACCTGTGTTGCAATGTACTGCTTCAGATGTGATGTGGATTACTTTCGACGTTCGTCCTGCCTGTTGAGTTTAGAGTTGGATGGCCCCGTGTACATATATGAAGCCATGAACTCCGCTATGATGAATCCACTAACACTTTGGGTTGACGTCCGCAACGCCCTCTGTAAGTATCAAGGATGCCAAGAACTCTCGAACTTGAGATGTCCATTGCTGGACCACATGCATAACGCCCAGGAAATGCACAGTCCGCAATCCACAGTGCAAAGGAACATGGGCATATTTGTGTTGATATCACAACTGCGGCGACGATTGGCCAAATGGAACGAATCACCCTGCGCTAATTACCAAACTCTAGATATAGCGTCCACTCACGTTCAAGACGTCCACACAATAAACAAATACATGGTGTTCTGAAACATTAACGGACATCTACTTGTGGTTCATCTACTAGCTTTTTAGCTCCTCTGCGCCTCCTTAGAGTTTGATTTTGGACGAGGCTCCGAGTCAAGGTGGAGATTCCAAAGCTCGGTCATAACACCGATAGCCATTTGCGTATACCCGCGGTGCAGAGCGCAGTCTTGTATCTTTACTTGGAACAACGTTGCTTGTAAAGTGGCTAAATTACTCGGAAAGATGACTTCATCGTTTCCAGAACATTCATGTCAATGGCACTGTTGATACTGTATATATCAGGGTATGAAGGTGCGAATATTAATGCAGCATGGTCAATGGACGAATGCCCCAAACCCAGCACTCTCCACCGATAAAACATCCTCTATTATACCACAAGCCTACACAAACCCTCAATACAGCGAGGTAGTAGTGCTCAGATAACTCTCCTATCAAGCTAATCACTCTACCGATTGTCCCAACCAACACTGGCATAATACTTATCACAGGTCGGCTGCATAAAACATCCAACAATAGCAGAGATACAACTGCAAACCACATTCTCAGAGAGGCTCAGAAGAAAGTAAGTGATATGTTCAATTCCGCTGCTGTGTGTGCCGAAGTTAACCTGTCTAACTTGTCTTGTTGGCAAACGGACACGAACTTTGGCTTCCCAAACAATGGTGTTTTGGATGGATCCAGAGGAGTATCTGGACGCTGTATAAATATGAAGCAGCATATTGCCTGGTGAGTCAATCTCTGGTTTCCTCAGCGGGGTATTTGCCTCAGTAGTGGGCAATACTGGTAATAGGATAAGTAACGCTGGCCCGACGTAGGCGCACGGGTGAGCAGAGCCATGTAGCTGAGAGTTAGGGGTCTTCGCAACAGTTATGGTTATGTTAGTCAGCAACGGATAACGCGGCTCCTCAGGGCAACGCGTCGTCTCATCCTCTTTGGACGACCTCCCAACCCTCCCGAGTTTGATATCTCTACCCCTTTGACTTGCGCTTTAGACCATAGTCCGTTATACCTGATGAGCTTCGAGGCTGTGAAGGTGGTAACACCTCTTCGCTAAGATGACGCGACACACGGCATTACAGTACCGGGAACAAAGTTGGCGCCAATCGAGAATCTCTCATGAGCGCTCGGTATTGGACTCGATCTCGAGGGCGCTGATTAAGTAGATAACCATCCAATAGGATCTTATGGGTGAACTCTTAGTTCTCACGTGGCATGGGCACGGATAGACGGTATTGGACTATGGTGTTGGATAGTATTTGGACTAATCGTGAGTCTTTAATTTCGCATCTCGTCCATCCAAAGCGCCCTATCATTCCAGAGATGAACAATGCGCATATACTAATCTCCATCACGGACTCACGAATATAGGGTCGTTTGATTCAGTTACACGGGCACTTGACGTATGCCTTGTTGATTGGTTGAATACGCCATCTGACCGCCATGTTTTATGATGAGCCTAAGGATTCTGGCATAGTTATTCCGTCCTCGTGTCGGAGGTGACTCTCACCCCACGCAGGACAGGCCGATTTACGAGCGAAGGTGAGCGTATCCGATCTCACGCAGGCAAAGATAAGCAAACTCTTCCCATCTTCTTGACCAAGCCGTGATAGAAGTGGACGTCGCTTTCCCATATTACTAACGCATACTGCGGCCTGAAGGGATTATGCGGGCCGAGGGCGCTGCAATCCCTTTACCCCAGACTCTAAATTTGTCAACGCTCTACACGGTGTGTGTCGTGATAGGCAGCGTCTGCCTTTGTTCCTCCGATTCAAAGCATCCAGTGACACCGAAGGTAGGACGGCTGACAATCAACACGCTGCCCTTCCATATCCCAGAGCTTTGGCGGACAAGTACGAGAGTTCTAGGCGCGTACGCCGTGCTGCATTCTGGCTGGCTAATTCCGTACCAGTTGGTACGTACACATGAACCCTTCCATCCCCATGACCTAATTACCGAAGATCATGCGATCAGGACGCGGGACGCGTCCCTACAACTGCCCATGGTTCTTGGCGTCATGCCTACCTGCGGAGCGCATCCTCCCCGTGTTGTTTTGGGGTAAATGCAATCTGAACCGTGCCTGACGAATATAAGGCTGAGACTATTCCGTTGGAGGAACATACGCGATCTGTCTTCACCACGACCCTAGGCGTGCGGTAGGACGCTTCATCTCGTAGTCTTCATCCTAACTTTCACTCGTCACAAACATGGCTTTCCTCGCTGCATTCATCCATATAGCCCTCGCGATTGTTCCAGCTCTCGCAGTAGGCGTAGCACCCGGCCAGATCAAGAACCTGATCACCTTCGGCGACTCTTACTCTGACTCGTCCATCTACCCCGCTGCTGACGGTGGCTACGCGTGGCCGACATGGGTCGCCGACTACGCGCATGTCAACCTGTACGGGCTCGCACGAGACGGCGCGACGTGCTCCAACGCGCTGACACCTCGCGATTTCCCGCCAATCGAGGAGTGGCAGCTACCGCATTACTTCGGCTCCCTCGCGAACGGGACAATCCCATACCTTGACCCGGAGGAGACGATGTATGTCGTGTGGATCGGGACGAACGATGTCGGCGTTGGTCAGTTGATCTCCGGACCGCCCAATCCCGACGTCTCGCTCGTGCAAGTTCGGCAGTGTGCTGTGAGTGTTGTGAAGCAGCTGTATGATAGCGGGGCCAGGAACTTCATATTCAACAACGTGAGTGATGTGTGTTGCCATCGATTTATGCTTAACCCGTTCAAAACGCAGATGTTGACACTTGACAAGACCATCCTATATTCCAACTACTCTTATCCGAATGTCTATTGGACAGAGCAGCGGAACACGACGGAATGGAACGTCTTCATGAAGGAAATCGTCATGGCTGGTAACATGATGACCGACTACATGCTGCGGGAAACGGTTACCCAGATGCCTGACGCTCACGTTGGTGAGTGGGTCGATTCCCTGACCCCGAAGGTTATCTGAAAGCATGGTGTTCATTAGCGTCGTTTGACACCAACGCGCTGTTCACGGATATGTATTACAATCCACAGAACTACCTGAATGGCACGGCGTCACTGAACGTCACCGGCTGTGTACACTCGTGCGTTTATGCACTGAACCAGAGCACTGCCGATACTGGCGACTGCACTATCGCTACCGGGAGCGATGCTGACAGCTTCTTGTGGTAAGTGTTCCGCGATGACGTAGTTCCTTGATGTATCTGATCACACCCATAGGTACGATGAGTTGCACCCGTCCCAACAGAGCGACCGAAACCTCGCGAAGGAGATCACGGCCGTCATTCAGGGAGGACAGAGCCAGTGGGCCACATGGTTGTCATAATTGTTCGCTTCTTTGCATAGACGTTCATTCCATGCGAAATACATCGGACAAGCCGTGACGTAGATTTCGATTTTGGGATTCTGGACACGGACTATCGAACCATTTCTCGAAGATAGGTAGTTTCTTCTCATCTTCTTCACCGGGGCCTGATAGAAGCCTCATATGCTCTCGTGACCATGTTAATTCAAGGTCTTCCGAGTCCGTGCGAAGCAACTGACACGATCGGTTTTTGGATCCTTCATACCAGATCCTGAAATCGGGTAAACTTGATCTGGGCTCGATATTCGACGCCATGGCCTTTCATCTCCTTGCTGTTCTCTTGAGGTAGAGATCAACCTTCTGACGTTCAAATCGATGACTCTAGCACAAAGTGACTGACGTCGGATATGCTTGAGAACGCGTGAATTCTCCCCTTGACCTTGGACTGATCGGTGTCTTAGTGCATTGAATACTCCCGTCCCCATGAGACCTCACCTGGGGTCACGCGCGCGGCACGCGCGGCGCGTCTCACCAAGTAGTGCCTGAACTCCGCGTCACATTTCTCCGTTGCACGCGTCTCGGCCGTGTAAGCGCGTGGACAGGTGCTATTCTTTGCTTCTGCTAGCCAGATATAAGGATGAATAGGACAGCAGTAGTATCTTCGATCTGCCCTCACCACCCCTCAAGACGCGTGCGGCCACTTCGTGTACCTTGTCCTCGGTTCTTCGTTTAAGTCATACTATGGTGGCTCTCCTGTTCGCTTTCCTTCACCTAGCCCTCGCGGTTGCTCCAGCTCTTGCAGTTGGTGTCGCACCCGGGCAAATCAAGAACCTCGTCACATTCGGAGACTCATACTCTGATTCCTCATACTACCCTGCGGCTGACGGGGGTTACGCCTGGCCAACCTGGGCATCGGAGTACGGCCCTTTCAACCTCTACGGCATCGCGCGCTCTGGGGCGGCTTGCTCGAACAACCTGACCTATCGTCCTTTCCCGCCGGTTGAGGAATGGCAGTTGCCCTACTACTTCGGCGCGGTCGAGAATGGAACCATCCCACATCTCGACCCCAGCGAGACTATTTACATCGTGTGGATTGGCACGAACGACGTTGGGGCTAATGCGCTCTTGACGGGGAGCGATCCGGGCGTGTCTCTCGTTCCGGTCCGGCAGTGCGCCGTGAACGCCGTCAAGCAGCTCTATGACAGCGGTGCGCGTAACTTTATCTTCAACAATGTATGTTGCGGCTTTTACCGTGTGAAGCCGCACTTGAGCTGACTTGGATGTGGGATATAGATGTTAACCCTGGACCGCACCATCTTGTACTCCAACTATTCCTATCCCAACAGGTACTGGACGGCGGAGCGAAACACGACGGAATGGAATGTTTTCATGAAGGAAATCGTTGAGACGGGTAACGCTTTGACTGAGTTGATGCTCCAAGCGATGATTCCTCAGATGCCTGACGCTCACGTTGGTACGCATCAGCATCTTGCATCGTAAAATCCAACCTTATGACAACCCCACTGTAGCGGCGTTTGACACTCATGCTTTGTTCACGGATATGTACGATAATCCGCAGAGCTACTTCAACGGTACTGCCCCGTTGAACGTCACCGGCTGTGTCAACTCGTGTGTTTACGCACTCAACGAAAGTACCGCCGATCCTGGTACATGCACCACTGCCACTGGCAGCGATGCTGACAGTTTCCTTTGGTAAGCAATTCGAGTCATATCATTAGTTAACCCAGCCCAAGCTTACGTGATGGCCGTAGGTATGACGAGCTACATCCATCCCAGCAAAGTGACAGAAACTTGGCGAAGGAGATTACAGCGGTTATGAAAGGCGAGCAGAGCAAGTGGGCGACTTGGCTATCATAAGCCATATATTCATACACGGTTGCTACTATTACATAGACTTAGCTGAGTATAGTAAAGTGAATCGTCGATTAAATCGAGCTATAGTATAGTAAGTTAGTCGATTAAGTTACACATAGAAGAGTAAGCCAGCCGATTGAGTTGAGCATAACGGAGTCGGTCGATCGTTAAGCTAATTAGGATAGAATAACTCGGTCGATCAAGCTGAGTACAGTAGGATAGGCAAGCGGTTACACGGTTTCAAGCAGTCTATGCACCATTGAGCTAGCAACTAATTCTTCAATGGCTAGAAAGGTGACGAAATTCTAGAGAGCGGTCAGAACCTAACGTCACTTTACCTGGTCGAATATATGTGACTGCTTACCGTCAAAAACCCACTCAAAACAGTCCTTGCAGAACATAGCAGGCCTTTCGGGCTCGTATCTGCTGTTATGCACGTCGCACATCTCTACAGAAACAAAATCGCCACGCTGGCTCGATGAGCTGCGAGGGACAGGGCCGCGACGCAATGGCTCGTAGCCGTGGTTACGCTTTCTGTGCTTGGTAAGGGCAGATGGGTCTGCCGTATGATGGTCACAGTCTGGACACTTTTTGGGCTTCTGGCGCAAGCTGAAGATAGGTATAAGTAAGAAAATGGAAAAGCATCTTTCAATGGACTCACTGAATTGCTATTTCGTGGGTTTCAGTGGCAGAACGCTGATCAGAGCTGAACGTGCAGCCCTGATATTTACAAGGATAACGCTTGGATGTGGTGTTCATTTCTGACCTACTCATCTCGACTCGAAGGAGGAGGTGAATTTATACACGCGAAAGTCCATGAGATCTCTCCAACCTGTTTTGATTGAAATTTTACATTCCATCATGGATTCCTCTTGGATGGATGACTGTGCAGTCTACAACGACTCCGGCTTTGCAGGAAAAAAGAAAACAAGAGCGTGAGAGCTGAGCGCAATGAGTCGTCACCAGGTTGCGTAGGACATAGCACCGCGTAAGATGCCGTCCAAGCAAGGGAGCGATACTGAGCGTCTGAGCATGTAGCAGCCGGAGTAAGTACGTGAAGAAAAGTCTACCTCTGAATGAGATAAATCGGAAAATCACTACAGGATGTGTTAACAGCTCAGACACCAGTTCCTGATAAATTGCACATGTAAGTGATGAAACGCTTACCAGGGACGAGTCAGAAGTTCAAGCACTCACTCATCACTCCAGCGCCCGAGAGTGATCAAAGGGCGATAACTTCAACCCGAAAGCCTCGGAGTTTATCCAAGAAGTCCTCGAGGGCGCGAAGGCTAAGTTAGAGTCTATGTCCACTTCAGAGAAGGCGTCGTCGATCTTCGGAACTGGATCTAGAGGCAGTTCTCCCTGACAACGTTGAATTCGGGACCGTGACCGTGAACCGCGGACATATCCCAGACACAGCTACCGAGACTTCGGCATACTGAAGCCTTACGGTGCGAACTGAGCGCCAAACCGGCAGGATGGTTGATTTGCAAATTTCTCTTGTCCGTCATGCAATGAGGCTCTTCTGGAGCCTCCAACGTGATGCACAAAAAATAACTAATAATGAATAGGCTGGTAGCTACTACTTATGTCTAACAGATAGTATGCGGGAACGATCACATTTGACCGTACATTTCATGCCGTGATTCATTTTCGCGACCCTCGCGGTATCAACGCTAACCCCCGGCGTCTATCAGTCTGCTAATAATACACAAAATATGCTACCACATTAATACGAAAGCAGCGTCTTGCCGCGGATACATTCAAGGAATTCACGTATAGAAGTTTACGAAATGAAAATAGTACTGCCCACGTTTTGGGACATCTGCCTACCCGATCCTTTTTTAGTGCTGTTGAAACCATGATTGGATCGCCCCTTCTCTGCGTTAATGAAGGTCGCAAGGAATCCCATAGTATGCGGCAAGCCAGCAGTGCATGCACTTGTCGCTAGTCGAGGTGCTAGGGGAGCAAGGGTTGAAAAGATGGTTCGTCTGCTGCTGCACTTGTTGATGAGCAGAGTATGATTGCGCATCGGCAAAACCGCAGCTATAGACTTGAGCCAAAAGCGAGGTGATCGCTTCGTCAGATGGCGGGAACATTGCCATAGCCTTTGTGTTGAATATGGTCTGGGGGTCAAATGCCGGTGGCGCCTAACAGGTAATTTTATAACACATCAGATTGATCAGAAGAAAACTTCATATGAGGCGCTGACCTTTAGAGAGTGATATGGCGCCGGCGGGTCAAGTTCAAGGAGTCCAAACGACTCATGAAGGTTGAAGCCGTAGGTTGGGGAAATATCGGCAGCACCCTACTTAAGATGAGCATCGAGAGGATTAAGAAGTTGACTCTGTAAACTCACGTATCGTTCAAAAGATTCATCGGATGTCCTCTCGTGAGCGCTTTTATAGATAAATGGCACAGAGATCAGCGCGCTCGGCTGAGTCTCGACGTGTGCCTGTCCCTGTCTGTACTCGGCATGTAGGGCGGGAGTTCTGGTTTCGTCGAGGCGCTCGCAGTGAAACTCCCATTCGTCGCTCACTAGTGATGATATCACCCACCGCTCCTCATCATGCATCATGCGCTGTGAGACTCACCTCTGAATTTGTACCAGTGTGCATTAACCTGTGGTTTCTCAACGAGATGCTTCTTTTGGCAGTGCCTTCGCATCTCGCTGGGGTCTGGGCTTTCGAAGGCCTCAGACGAGAAGCAGAGACAGCAGCGGTAGCTTTTGATAGACAGGCTTAAACCGCTGTGATGAGTTCGAATAATTCGACGGAAGCAGGTAACTACTTACTGCTTGCGGTTGATGTGTATGGAGGCGTCCCTCCGGCTGGTGAACCGGCGACGGCAATCACAGAACCTGCAGCAATAGCGGCGGGGCTGAAAGAGAGGAGTTTAGCATCTTCGACGGAGAGCCATCAGGAAAAACCTCTGGCCAATAAAAGAGGGAAGTCAGGGAAACATGTCTACAATTTGCGTAAATTCTCAGCGCGCGGGAAATGAGCAAAAAAAACGCGACAATGAACTAAAATCCGAAGAAGTTCTGCGAAGTTTCGGTTTGGTTTTGGTTGAGTAAATTACGTGTGGGTGGAGCAACGTGGATTTCAGGTAAAGCATTGAGCTTAGTCAAAGAAAGCAGCTAGTATAGTAGACTATATATTGGACATTGAAGTACAAGTATATATCTTTGAATGAATATTTAACATAGAATGTCGTACATTCATCCAAGACATTCTCCAATGTACCAGCGAGAAGGAACAGCACCGCCCCATTTCGTGGGCGTCTATGTGCCGCTCGAGGGCACGAGGCTGCTCGAGGTTGCGGGCACGGCTTCGCTCATGGCACGCAACTCCTGTGCGATGACCGGGCAGCCCGGGTCTCACTTCTTCGAGTTGGACGTGGCGAGCGAGGCCCACATATTTGGTTTGTAGAGACGGGCGCTGGTGCGGGCGCGCCGGGAGCAGGTGCAGCAGCAGGAGGTGGGGGTGCAGTGGCCGGGAGAGGCACGTTCGGTGCGCAGTAGACGATGGAGCGCGACGGCGGGAGCGTGTCGATTGTCGTGCAGATGCCGGCGGGTACGAGCAGGATGGTCGCCGTGGTGAATGCGACGGCGGCGGTTGTGGATGGGCAGAGTGTGCAGGGCTATGCAAGCTGTGTTTGGCTTGTCAGTTGCTTGAGTAAACGAACCCCTAATCCCAAACTAAATTTAAATATGTGTGTCATATTTGCTAGTCGCGGACTAGCTATGTCGCAAAGTTCATTTTCCGGCTGCAGCCGGTCGCAATCGACTACAATTACTGTTCAGTCAGAATGATTTAATAGTATTTTATATGATTAGAAGCACATTGCAACTGACACGGGCGATTGCAATCCACTTTGAGGAGCGTTGCAACCGCTTGCAGCTTAGACGTAATAAAATCTCAACCATAGTCGCTAAAAATACTCTAAAACCCGCGAGACCTCCGCTGCGTTCCCGCTTCAATTAAATTGCAGGCTGGTTGCAAGGCACCAAAATCGGAAATGGCTGCAATCGAACTATTAAATTTGCGACATACGCATAGCCATCACATACATTGGAACCGACGGGACTCGGAACCGAACTGCGCAACGGCGACTTGGACTCTTGGTTCAACGTTCAACGTTCAACGTTCAACCTTGCCACGACATTCTTCTCTGCACCCATCCCAACTCCTCCGCTCACTCACCTCTTTCCCTCCCCCCAAGTCATTTATCTATGCCTAACATGCCCCTGCTCTCCGACTTTCTCAAGCGAGAATGACCTGCTCCACCTCATAACGACAACAACACCTCCTACCTCCACGCCCCCCCGGCTCGACGCACTCGCTGCCCTCGGATCCCAACGGGCCTCAGCTGAAGGGAAAGCTGAAGAAGAAAGGGCCTGCACACGGACACGGGCACATGCGCCATGAGAGGTACGGCAGCACCACGTCATTCCCCGCTGCATCCCCGCCCCTCCGCGCCATGAAGAACGAGGTGCACGGTATCGCGCCGTCTGCGCATCCGCCTGGGCTCGTTGTCCTCGGACTCGGCTCCGCCTCCGGTTCAGGCTCTGCTGCTAGGGGCAGTCCCAACCCGAAGACACCGAAGAAGAGCGAGCTGATTTGCTGGGTGCGCGAGCGCACGCGCTCCAAGGCGTCTGTCCCTGGCAGTATCACGGCATTCGTTGCCTCGTCAGTCTTGCTCACGAGCTCGGCGATGGGCTCGCATGTCCCCTCTGCATTTTCTCCTGCTCATCATCACCAGCAGCAGCAGGACAGCGACTTCAACCTCAAATCCTTCCGACATGTCCGGGCGACCTCCCCCGCGTTGCCGACAACACCGATGGAGAGACCGGGGCCGTTGTTCTCGAGCTACAACGAAGCTAACACAATCTCACACCACCCACGCGCCCGCGCCCGAGAGAGAACAGCGTGGCGAGCGACACGTTGCCACGTTCCGCGAGGCGCAGGCGCGCCGCTCGTGCGCGGCTTCTCAGGCGTTTGGCACAGCGCTGGTACCGGGGGTGCAGCTGCTGCCGCCGCCTGTGGCAAGGAGCAAGGCGCCGTTGTTTGGGGCGGGGGCGTGGAGTAGTATCGGTTCTGGTGCTAGTGCGAGTGGTGGTGGAGGAGGGCGTCCATCGAGCCAGGAGACGTTGCGCGCTGACCACAAAGGTGAGCCCTGTATCAAAATTTTATGACTATTCTTATAAATTCTAACCTTTGAGTCTCGACTGATCCCTTACTTCAGAATAAACCGAGGCAGTACCACCATACCATGAACAATATTTACAACGCCTGTGCGTAAGTTTCATTATCTCATCCATCATACTTGTCACTCATTACGAGTACTGCAGTGTCTCATCGACCAAAACCGGTCGGTAATACAAGAGGCAAAGGAGATTCTCTTGCAAGTCTGCTGGGATCAGATGGCGGACGAGTAGCTCTCGCGTTGATACATTCTCGCATGCATTACACCTGTCATATCTTCGACATTCATTCATTAATGCTCTACCTTACTTTACATTGATCTTAGTAGTATCGCTATCAATACCATCTGATTAATCCCAACTGGTCAGAGGCCGGAAACCTGGACTATGAAAACGAAAAAGTTATCAAAATTCCAGGAGATTTCAGCAAAGTTATCACAATGACCAAGGGGGGGCTGCAGAGTTTTGTAAAGTTTTCTGCTCGCCCAAATTATGAAAAGTTTACCAAAAATTGGTGGATTTCGGACAACTATAGGAAAGATGAGACACTTTCGGGCAATTACTACACATAGGTTTTTCCTGATGGCAGTGGGAGTAACGAACCTTTTGCGACGGTTTTGGCATGGAATGGTGATAAGTGAGGTTTGTTGCTTGATAGTGAGCAGCTGCAGACCATCATGGTCGCTTTTTATCTGGCAAGTGGCTGGTTGTGTGAGCGGGGACCTTGATCCATGACTGCGGTGATGATGAATAGGCGCTCAGAGGGACGTTTGGACCGTTTAATAGTCTCAAGGATGCACTGTATCCCGACGTTACCTTAGCAGCGTGGAGACTGGGCAAGGGGGTTTTCCAGCTCGAGGCATTAGAAGTGAGCTTGGAACGTACCCCGAGGCGGTGTGCGGCGATCTGTGGACGCGGAGAGAGTCACTTGTGGGCTCCGGTTTTGGGCGTTTGATTGAGGTTTCGACGGGGTCGTTTGAGAAAGGCATCCGAGAGACACTATCGATTGTGTGCGGTTTAAAATGGCTCGGACATGAGATCTTGAGAAGTAGTTTGGGCGGGCATCACCATGGGCCTAGCGCCCCTGGGCGCAAAGCTGCGGCGAAAATTTTCACTTCTAGCTTGATACGGATTCCTCAATCTACGGTACCATATCTCGGTTACAGGGCCTACGAAGGCTTGTACCGAAAAATCAGCATGGAAATCAGTCAGCAGTTATTGATAGCCCCGGAGACTTTCCTGGGCTCACAACAGTCTTTCAGTTAGACGCCAAAACCTACTGAAATATCCTATTAGTTCACTCTACTTCCGGAGATGGTTTTTCGGCCCCCCAGGTAAGCTATTTTAGAGTCTCACTGTCAGTGCGAAGATCGCGAACGTTTTCGACACCTAGGATATCACGCGTCAGGAAGTTTGTCAGCTGCTCTCCTTCTATTGATTGGGGCCGTGGTCGGTCTCAACAAGTCTTCCGTACTGATATATGAGAAAAATCATAGCATGACAAGTTTTGAGTCGGGGCTTGGCGAAACCCTCGAAGAAGTCGTTTCCGCTGCAGAGGGACGAAAAATATAAACAGTTTCAGTGAGTATGTTACGCCATTTCCATGGTGAGAACAAGGCCCTTGTGTCGTCTATGAAGTACCAGTCCGGCAGCAGTCTCGAAGGCTTCCTGACGTCCGAATCGAGGCTGAACGGACTCCAAGGCTTCGGCTAAAGCTGTAGTCCGACGTCCACCACAGAACCATTCATTTCGGGGAGCTAGGACCATAGTCGTCATGAAATACACCCGCAGTCCAGGATAGGACTAAGTCTTCCGATAGGATTGCTCCGTGCCTAGGAGGGAGGATGGCATAATCCATCAAGTGTCCGTGGGATACTCATTGAGGAGTAGATGTCGACAGAAGCTGAGATCGAGGCTGCGCCTCAAACCATAGCGGGCACGGCTATAGCCACGAACAGCACCGCGCCGTCAACACCGCACACTTCGAAGGCTTGGAAGTCAGTTCGTGTGTTCGCACCTATATGGACCATGGTGACCTGGGTGTGGTCTTAATGAAGATCCAGATCTTCTCTTTGAAGCGTTCTGGTGGGGGAATGAGTAGATGGCTCAATCTGCCTACGCGGGTCCTGATCAGATACATCCATCAGACGAACTCTCCCACTCGATATAATAACGTTATATCGAACAAATGATGGATTGTGGCAATATCGATCCCGATCTTTAGCTCCTCTAGCCTTCTGTCCGTGTGCGTTTCGTACTACCTCTAGTACCAGTCTATCATACGATACTTGGTACGACGTAGGAAGGGGATCCAGTGTGTAGCCTGATGCACCACGGGCGCTTTGGGTCTGCAATCGCTCGCTATATGAGTACGGTCTGCCTGCCGGGCAAGTCATCCGAACGATACTTTCCTTTCTCCGCTCGTGTCACGCTATACCACGTCCAAAGTCAGCTAGCCTCCCCTCTCGAAGGAAATCATAAACACATAGCATAGCATAACTAGCGATCCGTACAATATCACAGATATTGCGGTTGTTATTATTGATACATAACTCGTCTACTTATGACCACTCCATATTCTAGTTCGATTCCTTTGGTTAGAATCGGAACGTCTTGAGGAAGTCGTTGGCGGAATGCTGGAGGCTCTCCCCCGGCTGGTTCTGGGCGGCCCCACAATCCCCTGTAACCGGAACGACCGGTGCCGCGGGAGGAGAAGAAAGGGGTGGGAGATCGTTTGGGGATGAGGCTTGGAGGTAGGTTGCCGTGTAGAATATGCCCCAGTTCTGTAGGACAGTATGCCCGAAGTGAGCAAAATATGAAGCATTGTTAGGGGACGCATACGAGCTGAAGTAAAACAAGGAATTGACTTACCTGATAATCGTTTGGGCTTTGGAAGGAACCGTCGGTGTCATCCATCCATTCGTCTTGACCTTGGTCTACTCTTGTAACTTCAGATGCTTCCGAATTGTTAAATGTACAACAGTACTGCCCCCAGGACACTGCGTGAATGTTAAACAGACTGAAAAGTGATTGGCGTTTGATGACTGCCTACCTAGACAATCGTTGTCTAACCAGCAACTTCCTATTGCGACATCTGAATGTTTCGTTTTGCGATGTCTTCGGATTGCGGAAGGGTCTGCGGTAGCATACATGCCGCAGAAGCAGCTATAGCGCCTATGGTGTAAGCTGAGGAATGTAGAATGAGAGTCTTGACGCTCTGAAGCAGTTTGTCCATAAGCCACTCACTGTACGCCTTCTATGTGAACGCGAGCGTCTCTCGTGCTCGTAAAGTCCATCTGGCAGTTTCCGAATGTGCACTCGCAGGTCGGTCGCTGAAGGATATTTTAGCAAGGTTCTAATCGTCGTGAGTAGTGGCCACGAACACGTTTACGCTCGGGTGCCATGATTGCTGCGTGAAGCGGGAGCGATATTGTACTATCTCCAGCCTCTGTGCTCGCGCACCATATTTTATATCGCTCGGAAGCTTGATCCATGCTGTGACGGGTGAAAGGATCGAAGGGTCGAAGGGACGCGGACCGTCCGCTTCGTTAACCTGGTGGACGAGTGGTCTGGTGGCGGGTGTAGGATTGTGGACGTTAATTTCATGAAACCCACCCTTGACTAGCCTTCGCACTTGGGGGAACCTGTATGCCGCGACGCGCGATGGTCAGCAGCCTGGCGGATGAAGCCAAGTCGGGTAAATTCACCTGACTCGTAGCGGTGGGGTGCCGCGTCACGAAGGGTACCTCCGAACTTTCGCGCAGAAGGCCATCACCAGTCCAACCTTACATCCCTTTAGGAGGGAATGGTCGTTCGTATGTAAATGAATGGTTGGAATGATGAGGGCATCGCGGACGCACCATGAGGACATGCGGACACTCTAGAAGGGGCATGGCGCAGGACCGCAACCTCTGAGTCGCGATAGTTGGATGATGTTGGGGTGTCCATGAGTGGACGTACGGTCGAAGAGCACGTAGGGCAATGGGCGAGGTGGACAGAGGCGAAAGCAGAAGAGGGAGCGATAGCTGGCGCTTATGGATGAATCCGCATGAGAAAGCAAAGGCGTCGACCCAAAAATGCACCACCCCCATGAATACACACCGTGCTTCTTCTCCTCACCTCAATTCAGCCCCGGTAGTGTGCTCTCCCTTCCTGCCAGATCGTTATCAAACGTTTTCTTCCCCATTAACGACGGATCCGATGGCGAATCAGCCATCGCGACAGGCGTTCTGCAATATAGACCTTTCGGGTCATATTGCGGCGGCGGCGAAGGCGCCGACATTTGATAGAAAGATGGAACCGACGGGCTTGCAGAGGCTTGCTACTCAGTAGCCCAGACACCCCCCGCTGTCAACAGCAGTGATGCCCCACGGATAACGCCATCGAAGTTGGTGCGGCAAGGGCGACACCTAAAAGCCAGGAGATGAATGAGCGGCCATCGATCAGCGGGGCTGGGATTCTCAATGAGCAAGCCGCAAGCTTATTCTTTCCTTGGGCCAGCCAGATAAGTACGTCTCTCATATAAAATACCCGGAAAAAAAGACGTCTACTCACCATGGGAGATGTCTGAACAGCCGACGCTCCGCGACAGGTCCTCCTCAACAGCGGCGGCGAAAACGACATTACCCGCCATGGCCAAGCCCAACAGACCGTCGAGGGCCTCCATCCCTCAGCCTTCGTACCCGCAGTGCCTCCCAGGCTACCGACGTTATCGCTATCTCCGATGCTTCGGTCGGTGAAGCGCCATCCAGTAGCTCGTGCCCCGCCGGAGTGTCACATTCGACCCATGAACGGGGACATCCTCAGCAGCCTCAAGAGCCCCAGGTCGATCCGCCCGCGGATCCCCAAACGCACCGTTGAGGAGGCCACCAAATGGCGCGGTCTGAGCCAGTACCTGTCTGGGATACCCGAAGTTGGCACTTGGACGGCAGAGACTGAGCAGCGTGCTGGTACGTTACGTTTGAATCCTAGGGCTCTCTTATACATGGTCTGACAGCCAATAACAGGGGCGATGACTGGGAGGCAGGTTGTGATTTGACTGGAACGGCATAGCGCCCACCCGAGAGGTCCATTGCTGAGGTATATTGGCGCTCTAGGCCACTGGAGCAGGAAAAGAGGTTCATATATGCGGGAGCGATAGGTGAGTATCACGTCTATGGTGTCGTTCCCGTAATCAGACGAGCATGAGTAGGCCGGGAATGTGCCAGGTAGGGAAGCGGAGGAATGGGACATACGTTCAGCCTATCCCAATACACGAAGATTTATTCGTGTGGACGGACACGTATTCGAGGTAGGCGTGGCACAGGAAGGTCGGGGAAGGGCAGAGTAACTGAAAATACGGCGGTGGCAAAGTATGCATGCCAAGAATCGCGGGACCGGGAGGCGAACATCGTCGGAAGAAGGGTTGAAACCAAGTGAGTCCGTCGCCAGCGTTCGATATTCGGTTTGCTTACCAAGTACTGCGTAGGCCCTCTCCCGCTGTCTTCACCGCCCTACTCAAGATGGAGGCTCACCTTCCAATTCTTTCCTCCCGCAACCCATGGTTCGCCTGCCCTGACAAAGCTTGACCTAGCTTGACGACGGACTTGTAGGGTCGGTGATTGGCCCTTGAATGAGTATTTGATCCTAAGCGGCCGAAGTTGCGGGTTGCAAGCAACACAGAAGAGGCGGTGTGCTCTTGCCTCGCGAGAGGAAGGGTTCGTCAGTAAGGGCATTCAGCAGCCCATATGAGCCATAATGACGTTCTCCAGCAGGATGTGCTCCAGTGGCACTCCAACTTGAGGCGCTGAGGTACTAAAAGTAGGCTCACTGCTATCCGAGGCTGGCATAGCGTATCCTGGTGGGGTAGATTTTGGAGAGGGGGTTGATCGTCACCATTCAATACGTGGTCTATTTCACGGGCAACGCTGGGAGTGACAGTCGCCTCGCTATGACGGACAGAAGCACGCGCGCGGAATGTGGTGGTATACCCCGCAGCGCAGCTCAACTTCACGGTCGAGCGGAGGACAAGGTAAGTCTTCAGCGCCGCTTTTGCCAGAGAGTAAGGACTTACGATTGTTCACCCAGCCCCTCTCTTTACCCCTCACGGTCCCGTATACTTGCAAGCTCGTTCACGACCAGATGGCGATTGAAGCACATGTCAGAATTATGATTGTGATGGCAAAATGACAAGCGCAAGCAGCTGCGCTCCCGTTCCCCGCACGTCCAACGCGCCGCCTGTCTGGGCTTCAAACTACCGTAAGCGAGGACACCTGAGCTAGGCTTGGGACTCCCTAGCTGTAGGGCTTCGAGGTCGCAAGGGAGGCTAACGCACATACATTCATCGCGGGTTTATAGAGGTAACATTGTTGCTTTGCTCACGTTAGTATTGGCTGGAATCTCGTTGCATGGGGCGGAGTGATGATACTAGACAGGAATAGCTCCAACAATCTACTTGGACACCTCCACCCTAGGCCCCTCGCCTTGTTGTCCCAGGTGCTCCTGCAGACATGGGATATTTAAAGCATCGTGGGCGACAGTAATACTCGCATGCATGCTTAACCATCCAGTGGTTCTGCCGATTATACTCGATAGATGCATATATGACCTTAGATGTAGGTGGAAAGACCATGCAGTGATCAACGTAGATGGTCATACAGAGAACGGTAATGCGCATGGATAGTTTTGAAGACTGTTTTTTTACTTTAAACTAGAAGTGGCCAGTGTTGCGAAAACAAAGAAATTGCAAAGGAAAGGAGACGAACATACGGATGTTTTAAAACGGCTGACGTAATTGTTTCCCTTGGCCCCGTCGGTGTGTCCTGCAACTCAGGCGCACGTCGATCGCTGCGGTGAGCGTAGTCGACCAACTCAAACGTCTTCTCCTCTTTCTCGACCCTTCACTAGCTTCGGATTCCTCATCTTTGAACACCCTCTCTCCTTTCCACGTTTGACAGGACTCAAGCTTTCTCTCCCCGCCCGAACAAAAGCTATTCGCCCAGAGAAACGTGCCATCAGGATTGCAGGAGTGCACGCTTCTTATCACAACGCAGGTGAGCTTTCTATTAGACGCATGCATATCGCACGACTCATTCTGCTAGCAAGGTTCTAGTAAACCCATATCCACAATCACATCCTCTTCGCCATTATGCTTGGAGCTTCTCCCAGCACGCCATGGTTCAAGGTCTCCCAGCTCGAGGTTCTCATCTCGCGCGCGTGCGAGCCTACGCACACCGAGCCCAATTATGCGGCTCAGCTAGAGGTCGCGGAGTATATCAATCGGAAGAAGGCCAATACGTGCGTGTCTCCTTCACTGCCTGAACGCCTTTCCACCTCCCGGTTGTCTATAATCACACATCCAACCTTCTTTTGCCCATTATCCATGCGTCCATCGTATCCTCTATCCCCTTCGTCCAACTTTTCTGCGTCGAACTTCACGTAATCTGACATCAAACACTCCCCTCAGCCCACGCGATGCCGCCCAGATGATCGCCCGCCTCGGCAACCACCGCAACCCGCATCTCGCCCTCCTCGCGCTCGACCTCCTCAGCACACTGGTTGGCAAATGCGGCTACCCGTTCCACCTGCAAATCGCGACCAAAGACTTCCTCAACGAGCTCGTGCGGCGCTTCCCCGAGCGCCCGCCCCCGTTCCCGAACCCCGTCATGGGCCGCATCCTCGAGCTCATCCGCGAATGGAAGGAAGGCATCTGCGTCAACTCGCGCTGGAAGGAGGACCTGGGCAATATCCGGGATATGTATCGGCTGTTGGTGTTTAAGGGGTACAGGTTCAGGGAAAGCAGGAGGGGGGAGGCGGCTGTCGCGCAGACGGAGATGGTGAGTGCCTCTGGGAATTACATGTTCCTTGTCATGATCGTGCTGATGAACCATTGAAGGACTTGAAATCAGCACATGAGCTTGAGTCACTCGATCGCGAGGCGCAGTCTGCGAAGTTGCAGGAACTGATCCGCCGCGGGACGCCTCGGGATCTCGCAGCCGCGCAGGAACTCATGAAGGCGCTTGCTGGAGCCGAGCCAGAAAAGAAGCCAGATTATCGATCGCTTGCACTCGATGAGCTCGCCAAGGTCGAGAGCAAGGTGATACTGTTGAGTGAGATGCTCGACAACGTGGACGAACGGAATGGCGAGCAGTGTGTCAAGGGTGACGCGTATGATGTACGTGTTTCTTTTACGAGCTTTCGTAATATCGAGCTCCGAAGGTTGACCTATGCTGTACAGCAAGTCGCGACGATCCTCAAGAACGCGCGGCCGAAGCTGCAGAAGTGGATAGCAGACGCGGAGTCGGAGGATGATCCCGAATCGCTCGGTGCGTTCACTTATCCCACCGCCCTTCAAGCCATACTAACGTACATGCCCTCTAGGCACCTTCCTCACCCTCAACGACCAAATCAACACCGTCCTCGCGCGCCAAGACGCCTTCGAGCAGGGCAACTTCGAGGCCGTGCGCAACCTCGCCACCGCCGCTGCCGAACCTGGCGCACCCAACTCCTCGTCCAACACCGGCGGGAGGTCGCTCATCGACTTTGACGATCTCGACTTTGGCGCGGGCGGGAGCTCGTCGCCGCCAGCTGCAAGTGCCAACAGAAATGGGAGCGGCGGCATCGACGATCTTTCGGGCCTGTTCGCTACTTCTTCGCCGCTTCAGCAGCAACCAGGCTCGAGCGGTATGGGGGGAGGCATGGGCATGGGTATGGGTGGCATGAACAATATGGGAGGAATGGGCAGGGGCGGCATGGGCTCGAGCACGTCCCCGCCCCCAGTCAACGCCTCCACGCGCCCACAGATTCCCGGCGCCGGCGGCTCCGCGTCCGGCTACGCGCCGTCGTACTTCCCGCATCAGATGGGCTCGGGCTCGATTGCGCTCGCGACGACGCCCAAATCGGGCAGCCCTGCGCCGTCTGGGGGGCCTGGGACGACTACTCCTGCGATGGGTGGGAGTGCGTTTGGTGGGATGGGCATGGGCATGGGCATGGGCGGTGGGATGGGCATGGGCGCGCCGATGGCGCCTGCTCGGCCGGGCGCGTCGAGTCAGAGTGCAGTGCCGGCGACGAGTACGGGACCGCAGAGCGCTGGCAAGGATCCATTTGCGGATCTCGCTGGGCTGTTTTAGTTCCGGTACCGCCGTTGCACATCGCTGTACTTTTGCAAATTTGCATTGCGCGGAGGACAAGGGTGATTTGGATGTAGATTCACGGGAGTTGGTGGGTTATGGCTTTTGGATGTCGGTTAGGTACGAATATTGTAATAGCTGGTGGCGATCTAGATGTATTGAACATGCTGGCGCCAGCTGGACATGGGCAACGAGTTGTGGGCACTGTATGAGGTCGTTTGTACAGTTTGCAACTACAGCGCCCCGGTAACGAGAATTAGCAGACACAACGCGTCGTAACCTCGTGCACAGACCAGATCTTTCATTTCCGAGTCCATCTCGTCGCCATGCTCATCTCAGCTCGTTGCACTGTCCCTCTTATGGTCACCACTTCATTTCATCTCGGTCCTTTGTTTGTTTCCCAAGTCCTTAGTTTACTGCGTTGCTTACTAGGGCTAATCGACCAGATCGGCGGATAATCTGCCCTGCCTTTGTCCCATATTCGTTCAACTTTTTTATTCCTATTCTGCGCTTTCGAGGAATGCTCGGAACCTTGTTCTCTGATTTACTTTGGAGGTTCTTCATTTCGTCCTGTTTGGTTTATTGCCCTTTGTTCCGTGTTCACTCCTTGACGTGGAGTTGGTCTTTCGAGGGTATCTGCGTTATGTCCGTGATGCGATGACGAGCCTGAAGGAAATGATATGTCAGAAAGAAAATGCGAAAAAGGACACGATATGGATAGAGCGTCACTAGCGCCGGAATGTTGCCTATTCCCACAAAGGCCTTTGTAAATGGACCGCTATCAGAGTGCCATGTTGTGAGTTTGATAACATATTGGAGAAGGGTGCTGATACGTACGCAACAGAGACTGGAGAAGCATTAAAAATAGCAGTGCACTATAACGTGAGTAGATTCGCGCAGGAGTAAATTAAGGCGGGTCAAGGTAAACGTGACAGAAAGAGAGAGAAAGGCCCGAGGGCGCTTATAATGAACGTACTATATTGCTCAGGGAGTATACCATGGCTTCCCATGTGGACTTGTCATTCACTCTGTTCCTGTCGCCAAGAATCAGACCGAAAGGTAATGGACATACAGAGGTCCAGCTCCCGTCACTAACCATGTTACACAACATTTCATTATGCAACATCCCGGGTGTCCTGTCTCCATCAAGGAGTCAGATGGTTTTTACCTATTCCCGGAAGAATGCCAACTTTATTCTGCCATTTCTAATGGGTTCCGTGTACTGTTGGAAACATGGTTTGGTTCGCATCGGACACAGGGTGCTAATTAAACCTGATTCCCGACTAGCCATAACACAAGCGGTCACCAGGGTTTGCCGGCTCTGCTATCAGTGACTCGACTTGATCGTCGCGAAGTGGTAGGAAACATTTCGTACAGTTTTTTTTTATAGAGAAAATCTCCCATGTCGAAGCGTCAGAGCGACAAGCAAGTCAAAGGCAAACTTTGACGATTGAATATTGAGTGACGAGGCTGAAGCGCTGAAGGGGAAATTAAAAGGCAGTGCCATTTTCCCCTTGTTCGGGTTTTGCCGTTCGCTAGTTTTGTCGCTCGTTATGTCGGACATGTCAAACGCGCTCGTTCTCCCTTCAGTGTCATCTCCCAACCTCCACATATCTCGTTGGCATCGTCTCGGACACTGAAACACACCGATATGCCAAGTCAAACAAGGACGATGCACTCTGAGCATACCGAACGCCTTATATTGCGAGCCTCAGCGTACAGACTGCATTCATACCCCCAGCTCCTCCAACAGACATGTTCTCATTCTCAGCTCCTTCAATCGGCGTGCTCGATAGTGCACTAGTGGTGTTAGCCGTATGGGTATCTCTCTACCTCTGGGGACAACGCAGGGACCCCACGCAGCTCAATGGCCCGCCCCGCTCCAGTCTCTTCCTCGGTGTAGGGCAGCAGATCCTAGATTCGCCAGACGCCGGATCGCTATACGAGAAGTGGGAGCGAGAGTACGGTCCTGTGTACTCAGCGCCGAGCACGCTGTGGAAAGAGCGGATCGTGTTGTGTGACCCCAAGGCCATCGCGCACATGTGGGCGAGAGACTCTATTGTGTACGATCATCCGGCGGTGTCGAAGGCGCAGTTGAACCTCTTGGTGCGTGATACTCTGATGTATTGTGATGCTGCTTGCTAACTTTACGCCATGAAGGTTGGGAAAGGCGTAATCTGGGCTGGGGGAGAAAGTCATAAGAGGTCTGTGCGAACGTTCATTGATCTTTGAAGTTGTTCGTTGATGCCCTTGCTGTTGCAGACAGCGTAAGGCGCTAAATCCGGCGTTCAATTTCTCATCGCTTCGCAAGCTGGCACCAGTCCTTTTTGACACAGCGGTTCGAGTAAGTTATGTGTTGATCTGTGATGTTAGTGTTTTGACCTAGTTTAGCTTCGGGAAACCTGGGGATCTATCTTGGATGAGACAGGTGACGAGGGTGTCGTGATCGATATGCAGAGATGGTGAGCTTGTCGACTCAAACGTCGCGTATCAGGCTGTTCACAACGCTCCGCATCCTTACAGGATGAACCGCCTTTCGTGAGTAAACATCTCCCTTATTATCCTCCTATCAGCTAACCACATCGCCCAAGGCTCGACGCAATTGGTCTCGCTGGCTTCTCACACGACTTCGGTGCGCTGAGCGGCAAAACATCCGCCGTCTCCGAAGCACTCGATGCCTTCGCGGATCCGCCTCCGCCAGCTTACGAGTTCATCGGTCTTCTCGGGCTTGTCTTCCCGTGGCTCATGAACCTTCCCATCCCCAAGACTCAGATGATACTCAAAGTAAACAATGCGATGGAGGACATTGCGAGAGACCTGTTGGAAACGACGAAGAACGCGGGTGGGGAAGGGAGCTCGGTGATGCAACTTCTGAGTAAGTGTGCTTGTCAGTGTAGTAATCGGATGCTCACCGGTCGAATAGTCAAGGCGGAGGACACGGGCGCGGAGGTCCGCCTATTGCACGAAGAAGTTCTGGACGAGGTGCGCTATAAGGCGTTGTCACAGGAGCATATCATTTACTGATTGCTACGAAGATGAAGGCCTTGCTGTTGGCTGGCTATGAGACGACGGCCATTACACTTACGGTACGCGATCTCAACATGTTATCACTTAACCATGCTCAAATGAAACTCAACAGTGGACTCTGATCGAACTTTGCAAGCACAGAGATGTGCAGACCAAGCTGCGCACGGAACTCTCGCAGCTACCGTTTGAGGAAATCGACTACGGCCAGCTCACGTCTCTACCCTACCTCGATGCTGTCGTGCATGAGATTCTCCGACTGTACCCCGCTGTCCCCGAGCTCACTCGTATTGTAAGTCTTGCTTGCTCTTCTACGGTCTAACACGAGAACCGACCAACGCATATGACATCTATAGGCGAACGAGGACGACATCGTCCCCTTGAGTACACCTATTGTAAATGCAGGCGGCAGAACAATCGATCACCTAACCATCGCAAAGGGTACACTCGTCGCTACATCGATGCAATATGTCAACAGGTGCGAAAAGTTCTGGGGCCCCGATGCGGCCTCATTCCGCCCCGAGCGCTGGCTTGCTGCCGAAGCTCCAGGTGCAGGCGGTGTCCAGGGACACAAACACCTGTTCACGTTCGTGGAGGGACCGAGGATGTGTCTGGGGAGAAATTTTGCTCTTACTCAGGTGAAGGTACGTCTACCCCCCTCCTGCTAACATCGAGATATCAGGACGCTGAGATCGGTTTGATGTAGATGGCGTTATTGGTGATGATCAGGAACTTTGAGTTCGAGTTTGAGTATGGGGAAAAGACAGAGGTTGGAATTGTTCAGGGGCTACTACCCCGGCCGAGAATCGTAAGCCAGAATAGTGTCGGGGTGCCCCTCCGTATACGACGCGTCGCATGATAGTTGAAATGCCATGGATAGTGTACAGTACATCCTAACTTAAGAGCTTTCAGTAATTTCATGCTCGAACGTGATCTCTCTTTACTAGTGCCAACTCTATTCATCACAGTACAAGTCATCCGACCAAGACTTGTATGTCTCCAAATCTTTCCCTGTAGCTTCCAGCGTATTCCTCATCCAGTCCACCGCCATACTATGAAGCGGCAACCGAAGTGGAGGGTTGTCGAGAAGCGAGAGCATGTACATCATCTGGGCTGCTTTTGTCGGATGCCCAGTGAAAGTCGCATCGTTGCTGAATAACGCAAACGCTTTGTTTGCACCCAGGGTCTCGTCGCGGTACGGAGTGTAGATTGGCGCTCGTTTGAAGTGAGACCCGGCAATTGTCGTGTTGAATGGCCCAAATTGAATACAGGAAACCTGGATGCGACGAGACAAAGTCAAAACGTATATAGATAGTTGTTTCCCGTATAGGATTGGTGACACACTTTGATGTTCCATGACGGATGAATCTCGAAGGCGATAGCTTCAGTCAAGCTCTCCAGGGCTAGAGGAATGTGATCAGCGATCGCAGTCTTCACATTACAACGCAAGTATAATCACCAGCTTTTCTACACAAAGGATCATGATGTCAAAGCAAATGCCTACCAAAAAGGAAACGAAACATACGCAGCAGAATAATACGAGAGCCCAGGGACAGCCTGCGCCGCCGCTAACGAAGAGGCCTGCAGCAAGTGCCCACCCATCGGTCTATTCACCTCGCGGAAGAACCTGATCGCCTCTTTTGAAACGTACGTCGCCCCCCAGAAGTTCACCTCGAAAAGCGTTCGAGCCGACTCTTCATCCATGGATTCAACCTCACCAAAGTACCCTGCGCCTGCGTTGTTGTACACGACGTCGATGTGTCCGAACTGCTCTCTGGCTCTGGCAAACGCTGCTTCAACAGCGCGTTTGTCTGTCACGTCGAGTTCGATAATGAAGAGCTTGCTGGGATGGTAAATCTGCGAGAGCTCGGCGAGGAGCTCTGGCCTCCGCAGTGTGGCGACCACGGAGTCGCCTTGCATGAGTGCGACTTCAGCCATGGCCTTGCCCAAACCGGAGGATGAGCCTGTGACTGGTTGTAGTCAGAAATGAGTTGTGACTGTAGCCGTTTCACGTACTAAACCAGACCCTTGGCGGTTGGAGGTTAGCATCTGACATGGGGCTAGAGCGGTAAAGTATCTGTGACTTATGGTGGGGAAAGTGCGAGCTTTTAGTGTGCTTTTTAACCGTTGACATGGCCATTCTGGTATCTTTATACCTAGGCGTCACGTTTGACGCTTATTCCGAGATTGGGAAACAAAATTGAGTTCTGTGGAGTCAAGATAACCATGAAATCTCCATAAATGCTTTATAGAAAAGCTATCTAACCTTCTTTGACATACTCAATGTTGTTAGCTCAGGTAATGGAAGCAGGAGCTCAGCACATGTGGCCTCGCCGATGTCATGGGCTACTGATCTGCCTCATAACCACAATAGAGCACGAACGTTTCCTGCGAGGATCAAAGTTCGGACTTAGCTGCCGCCACTCAATAGACATGAGTTATTGGTTCCCCACGCCCCGTAGTGCGCCGAATCTAATCGATCATCGATAATCTTTCACTTCCGTAACTACTCGCTACCTGGGCCGCGAATAATGCGGGGCACGGCAGAGATGTGTCCACTGTCTCTTGATAACGGTGTCAAACCTTGATGTAAATCATTTGTTTATAACAACAGATACGAGCCGGACCGATCTGCTGTGTTCTGTTCGGATTGTTTTGAGTGGATAATTAAGCTCAAGGGTGAGTGTTTGTACTACAGGCTACTAGGTTAAACCTTGCGTGACAGCTGGGCAATGTCGATACAATGATTTAGAGCTCAATAGTATTTCTGATCAATGTCGGTTTGATAGCCGCTAGATGCTCGTGGTGCACGGTTCTGCTTGGGGGTCTCACTATGCGAGCGGCACCCGTTTTTTCTGTAGTGACATTTGAGGTGACGGCAAAGATGTTAGAATATGACACTGGATGTACGACGCGACATACAGCATTATAATAAAGCCTGTAAGTATCGAAGCCGGTGAGGGCTACGGCATGTGCTCGTACAACTTCAAAGGGGACCAAGGGAGTAACTACGAAAATGCAAGTATTGAAGCCTTCGAAAGTGAAACCTCGAGGTAAATTTCCAACGTATGTCGTGAACTGTGTCAAGTTATGCCAAGATATAAACCAAGGACGTCGCTGCTGGATGCATCATCTCGAGGTCTCTACAAGAAATCAACGACAAGCCACCTGCCGTTAATCGCATGGCGACATTTTTGGTTGCGGTTCGTGGGGTTTATCCGTCTGTTTGATATTTAGTGAAATGCATCTTGGCTTATGCGAGTTCGACGTCTTCCATGAGCGCTAAACCATAGACCTCAAGTATTTAATAACACCCGGTCCTTTGTACTCTACAATCACTCGCACTCATGGTACCTGACTGGGAGCCGAACGATAAAATGCAGTTGCGCACAATTGATTAGATGTAGGTACGTATACAAATATATCTATATCATAGAACGATCGTGAGCAGCTAATACACAGCGCCATCCCACATAGCGTGCACATATGACACACATATTAATGTAACACACATATACACGCTCCCAGTCTAAAGAACCAGAACCCGGAAGCGACGCGCGTCTCACTTCCGAATTCTGGTTATTTAGTTTGGGAGTGTGTAGACTCGAAAACCTTCCGTTTTCAGCACAAATCGCAAGTCGTCAAAATACACAGAAACAGAGACAAGCAAACGCATCACGGACATATACAACCACGTTGCAAAGCGGGACGGCCCTCGTCCAGCAAACACGGATTAGCCGTGTGAGTTGAGTGGTCCTCGCTGCTTCAACGAGTATCTATACAAGCGCGGTTAGGTCAAAACAAGACGTCCTTTCGCCATCGATGGTGTCGACGACCCTGATGGAGATATATAGACGTTGGACCAGTGCCCAAAATGTGTTGAGATTTGACAAGGGTAGTGCGGGAGTCAACTCGATGGTGAAAGAGCGGAAGTATGAATGAAAATGACTGTAAATTAGTGAAGGGTTCAGCGTCATCAGAAAGAAATTAGTGGTTAGTAAAAGCCAGATCTAGAGACCGTTAGGTTGGTGAGAGGACGAGAGGTAGGTATGGTCGATTACACGCTCCCAAACTAAATAACTGAAATCCGGAAGTGACGCGCGTCACACTCCCGGATTCCGGTTACTTAGTTTTGGAGCGTGTAGAGGTCGATTAGTCAGCGCTGAGCAGAGTATCCAGAGCCAGGAAGAGAAGACCAAGAACCCGAGATCACAAGAGCGAGAAGAAGATTTCGACTCAGAGCACCATAGAGAAGACCAAGAACCGAGACCACAAGAACGAGAAGAAGATCTAACCCAGAGCCAGCCCAGAGCACAATAGAGAAGACCAAGAACCGAGACCACAAGAACGAGAAGAAGATCTAACCCAGAGCCAGCCCAGAGCACAATAGAGAAGCACAATCGAGCACTCTAGATCTGCGCTGGAGCATAAACTATCCAACACACGCAGTCAGTACAATATCCCAAACGCACTCGCCGAAAATGAAAAGTAGAACTCACATCTAATAGTCGTCATGGGCTTCTCTGACACCTGCGGCTCTGTCAACAACCTTTGCGCAACCTCCCCGAACTCTTCCGGACTCATCCCCTGGTACCCGATGATCAGGTCGTAATGCGGCCACCACGGGCGCGGAGGCTGGACGATACGCTGCGAGAAGCTCGCGAGCTCTGCTGGTGTGAACGTTCTGAGCGAGGCGATGAGCCAATCGACGGTGTTAAGCGATCGTGCCTGTCCTTCGTCGGAAGAAGACGAGGGAAAGGGAGCGGGAGGAGGAGAGGGTGAGAGATTGAGCTCGAGCTCGAGGTCACGGGGATCGAGCGGCGCTGCGAGCGGGTCATCGATGGAGTTGATATTGGAAAAGTCGGGAGAGTCTAGAGTGAAGGAGTGGTATACCGAAACCCCTTCGTCTCTGGCTGAGTCGAAGGAGTCGTAGCGCTCATCCCCAGACGAGGAGGAGAACGAATCATCCGACCATTCATCTCTGTTCGAGTCGAACGAGGCGTCTGAGCCTTCATCGTCGTCCGAGTCGGCGGAAGCATCCAAGCTTTCGTTCTTGTAGGAGTTAAACGACATATGTGAGAGCGATTCCAAAGTGGAGTGGAACGAGTCGTCCGAAAACCCCTCGTTTGAGCACTCGTTTACTTCTTCGCTCTGGATCACGAACGCGTCACCATCAGCGAGGTTTTCGTGTACGATAGACGCCATGTCCATATCCTGAGTGCCGTTTGAGATGAAAGATTCAAAAGCAGCGTCGCCAGAGACCTCTGCCAAGGTAGCGGGCGACGAACCATCCGATACATCTTGAAGGTCGGCCTCATTATTGAAGGTCAGGCCTGGTATACCCATATCGTGAACTCCTTCCAAGTTAAAAGGTGTAGGGAGTGCGGCGCCTCCGAGTGTTTCACGAGGGGTGGACGTCGCAGCTTCCGAGTTGCTAATCAGGACTAAACCATAGAACAGTAAGTGAGACATGGGGAATATAGTGATAGCATATGATAGCGCACACTCGACAGTAGGCTCCAGATGGTCGTTCTTCCACTCTCTGTGTCCGATCTGGATGACTGACTCGAACATATCGAGGGGCTCCGGACTCGGTACGAATGCTCCGGGCTCTTGAGGAAGACGCGCCAGTGGGGAAAACGGCTGAGCATCATCGCGCTCGCGGACTCGTTGCCGTGCTGGGGTCTTTGGTTCGCCAAGTGGCTGGCGGGCTGGAGTCTTTGGGTTTATCGCTGCAGGGACATGGACATGGAAGAGAGGAGAGAAAAGGGCGCGCGTCAGTGGCGTGAACACGACAAACAAATGCAAAGAAAGGCGCACCGGATCCCACGTCTGCGTCCCGTCGTTGACCCCGACTAGTGCTCGCCTGAGCCACCACGTTCAACGGCGTCGACGGGAGACTCATCCTCGCCGGCTCTTCTTCCCTCGTAGCGACCACACGGCGGGCCGCATTTCCCTGCAGAATGTTCGCCAGGGTAGATGGCCCGAGTGGTCCTATCGCCGCCTCGTCAACGGGTTGCATCCACACGAAGGCGTCATCAAAGCGCCCGTGATCATCCTCGTCCGAGCTGAAATCAGGCGCATCCCAATCCCCATGTATTGTATGCGGACGTCCTGGAACTGCCATCACCTCGTACGCGTGCGCGCCCGCATCTCCACCCCTGCTCTTGCCCTTGCCCGCCTGCGCGTTCTCAGGTGCACTCTCGTCGAAGACCATCACCTTCCTCCCGCGTTCCAAGGAGAAATCGTGTGACTGCGGCTCCAGCGGCTTCTTCCATACCTTTTGCAGCACCGTATCCGCGAATTCGTGCCTTTCTTCGGAAACGCGTTCGTTCCAAAAGTCGACCGACTTCATCGGCGGGCTGCCGATCGCAACCGTAGTTCCGTTCGGTGGCGGGCGGATCGACGGCTCATGAGCGAGAACGGGGTCGTAGTTGGCAAAGGATGCGAAAAGGGCCGCCGCCTCGGCGCCGTCGAGGGTGAAGGGTTCAGAGTACGGATGGAGGGACGAAAGGTCGGCCATGACGCCAGAGGTATCTTCGTCCGAGGTGACCGAGACGTCGCTCGGAGGAGCATTGGGCACCAGCTCCAGTTCTCGCAGGTTGCACGTCTGCAATGCTAGAACGGTGATGTTGCCTTCTGCATCCGCCTCGAGCTCGGCGGAGGTCTCCTCGATAATAGTCTCGAGTTGACTGCCGAAGTACGTACTCTGGGTACACTGGACCTGGACCTGGACTTGCTCCTGCTCGCTCTTCTCCACGATCGCCTCGAGCTCGGCGACACGCACGAGCAGCGCGTCCCTTTCCTCAGCTATCTTGGCTGCATGGCATGTATGTTCGTCAGTTCGCGTTACCATGATTCGTTTTGACACATTTGACTCACACTGGGAAGCCTGAGTGTGGAGCGCCAGAATCTCCAGTTCCTGCATGAGGATCGTATGCGAGCAATGCTCACAATCCTTGGGGCATCGTTTGCTTTGCTCGACGAACTCATCTTCGACGAGGACACTGCCGAAGATGTCCTCGAAAAACGTGGTGAAGCTCATGATGATTTGCGACGAGGTGAGGGGGGCGGAAGGTGGCGGGATGATTGTGAGACGAGGAAAACAAGTAAGGGTGGAGAGATGATGGTGGTTCAAGCTAAGGTTGTGCCCTGTCTCTTGCCAGCATAAAAACCAGGACGAATGCTCGGTCTGAACTTAGACTTAGAGCTCAGACCGCGCCTGCATTCACTTGGCTGGTGCTCGCTCCACCAATGTCCCTATCTTCAACGTTTCAACTTTTATCTTTGACTCCTAACGCTGTTTATCTCCTTTATGCATACCAGCTTGAGTTCCTTGACCGCACGAGCTTTTCAGAGCTTCTGTTATGAGCCCATGCGTCTTGAAGATCTCTTTATTACAAGCACCATCATGGACGCTGCAATGCCAACTTTCGCTATGGAATTGGCATCAGCAGGCGGGAGTACTTCGGTGTTCAACTCGGCTTAGCATCCACTGCCAGGGGCGATGAGCTTTTGGCGTAACAAGGCATGAATACGGACATCGTTTATACGCCGTAAATAGACGGGAACATTGGAAGCAGGATAGCAAAGCGTTCAAAATTCGAGATCGAGATTGGGGCCAAGACGGCTGAAGTTGGATAGGAGGCGCTCCGTTGTGGCGTAGTAAAAACGTCGACACCGGATCACACGTTAAATGAGCTCGTAATGGACTGGCTTCTGTCAACTGCTTAAATCTGTTTCATATGCTCTTGCAGGGACATTGTGCTTACAGCAAAGAATTATCTATGCTTTATCTACAAGCTTGAGACAAGTACTACATCACGTTACCATTGTTAGCCCTCCTCAGTATAATATATGCCCTCCGACCAAGACTCGTACGTTTCTCAGTCTTTCTTAGCAACATCCAACGCTTGCCTCATCCGACTTACCGCCATCCTATGAAGCGGTATCCGAAGCGGTGGACTATCCAGCAGTGAGAGCTGATACACCGTATTGGCTGCTCAAAAGACAAAAATTAATTTTCCACGCCCCGTAGTGCGCGCGCTGGATCTAATCGATAAGCTTTTACTTCCGTAATTACTCGCTACCTGGGACGCGAACAGTGCGGGGCACGGCAGGGATGTGCACACTGTCTCTTGAGATCGGTGTTAAACCTTGCTGCAAATAGCAGTAGGAACGTTCCTTACAATATGATCATTGGTGCAGTAAAACTCAAGAATACTGGCAATTTGGACGGCGACCATGTTCTCGTTCACTAAATCTTATTACTTATTGAATACTTCGAGCAGAGTCCCACCAGGATCGCAGCGTGCAAACATCTGTGATGACCACGCGTGTGGCAGGGCACTTTCGGGATGGATGCCATACACTTGAGGTCGTTGCGCCTCGATAGACTCAAAGCGCCATTGGCGCTCTCTCCATCTGTGTCACTGGCACTATCGACCATAATACACCGTATTAAAATGGCTTGACTATGGATAATGAGGTTGAGCAGATTCACAGAGAGCCCTCGCATTGTATTATTAACTGACTAGCCTTGTTCTGTACGCACGTACAAGGGAACGACGTTGAGCTGCGAGTGCACCAACGATGCCAAGGTGCCTGTTGCCACCTCATTCGACCTCAGTGAGTGGAGTGTTCAGATTGTTCGAATTGCCGCTGACCAAAGTTGCTTTTACAGACGGCTGCGTCGGCAACATCAACGGCGGACTCGTCTGCTAAAGAGTCTAGATTACTTGCCATACAGTAATTTGGCATGGGGTACGAATGGTCTTTGAACTATGCCGGTCTACGTAATAGTCACTGCGTGTTTCCTTTCCTAATAAATTGATAGAGTGTCTTCTTGAAGTAATCTGTGATCCTATTTCTCATTGGTACAAGTTAGATACATTTCCCGGACAATATACTCAATACCCCTGATTATGACTATAAGGGAGCGTGATCACAAGAAATTCTGATGAGACTTTCATACCTTTATGGATACGTACCTTTGTAATCCAGTACCACTCATGTGAAACAGCAAGTAGTTCATCGAAAGACCTTTCACTTTTGAAGACCAAGCGCGCGAAATCAGTCTTCGACCGCCCATCACCGGCACCATTGTCCTGTGTTCTCCTGGTCTCTGCTGAGGTTTCTAACCTGCAATTTACAAGAGATTTAGGGAAAATGCCGTTATTTAAGAGGCTAACGACGATGAGCCTATCCCTTACCAAGCGATCCGGAGTAATAGTGAATGTTTCCAATAGTAGAGACCGCTGCGGCAAGCCCTCCCTATGCTCGAACTTATTGGACCTTACTTATTACACGCAACGTAGCGACGGTGGTGCTCCACGGGACCTCTTGATTCGTAGGGCTGGAGTCGTCTGCTATATCACAGCGCATGCAATGAGCTTAATAAGAGAATTCACTTGTGAGAAGGCGCGGGCGAAGGTGGGATATGTATTATGAGACGTGGTTATATACAAACTAACGAAAGGAACAACAAGATGTCCATCAAATATGAAAATCACTGTCAAAACTTGAAATTGGCGTTGAGAAACAACATGAAATCAACTCGAAGGCGAGTACGCACCAAGCCTGCGGCTGAAAAGCTTAAGCTTGAGCCGCCTTCACCATGTCAAGCCCAGCAATGTACTGTGCCGCTTGAGATGCCATCCCGTTGTTACCGTAGGTGAAGTGCTGGGGGGTCAGCATCGCCCGCTGGATGCCACCCTGCTGCAGGTTCTGTACAAAGCCATCCCAAGCGTCCGAGAGCTCGCCTGGGAACTGTTCTACCAAGCTCGCAGCGGCCTTAGTCTGCTCCCAGCCCTGAACAGCGCTCGGAAGGTCCTTGAAGGGACCAACGATGTCATCCACCGACGTCGGGAGTTTGAAGTCCGAAGGCAGGTTCGCGCAAAGCGGATCGAACACAGTGCCCGTGACGCAGTACCCTTGAGTGGTGACCGACGGCGTTTCGTCGGAGAACAGGTGCCACGGGTCGCCAAACGTGACAAGGCCGGCGACCTTGCCGCGCGTCGCGTCGTCTAGCTGGTCGAGCGCCTTGTGTGCGACGAGCGCGCCTTGACTCCAGCCTGCGATAACCAGAGCAGCGTTGGGGCACTTCTGCACGTACGCCTGGGCAGTCTGCGCCATGCTCTGCGCGCCCGAGTTGCTCCCGCCTTCGCTGAGGTAGCTGTCCAGCGTCGCAGGGTACGCGGTCGGGTCGACACCCTCCACTGCAACGGAGGGGATGTTGCTCTTGAGCGCGTCGTTGAAATCAGGGCCGACCCAGACGCCGATGTTGCCGCTGTCGAAGGTGCCACGCGCAAAGAGGACGCCTACAGCGGCGCAGGGTGCACTGCCGGAGATGACGGATGACATGTCGTTGACGGTGTCGTCGCCGCCCCTGCGAACAGGGGTGGCGGAGGTGAAAGTTAGATAGGTGGCGAGAGACGCGAGGAACAGCTTCATGGTGGTGTAGAGGGTATTGGCGACTCGGAGCAAAGGAGTGTGAGACTGCAGAGGTGGGCCGAAATCAGGGGACGAGACTTGAAAACTGCGAGCGCAGGAAGCGAGGTTTATATCCTTCCTGTGGTGGAGCAACGGGGTCAAGCCCGCTTATGAGATGTCGATCATTGGACTGATGCGTACCTTGTGCGCGCATCTTCAGGAAGACGGGACTCAACCTCGGTGTCCCTCGGTGTCTCGCCCTCCGTAGCCAATATATTGAACGGACTGACGATACTGTGGATGGATCATGTGCCCTTGGTTTAACGCCCGGTCGACGACTACTAGTAGAGTCCAACGGAGGTTCTCGGAGTACTGGAAGGGGTTCTTGTGCGCGAACAGAGAGAAAACGTCAATGTTAGAAATCAGGGCTCTTATCAAACAAGTCGAAAAGAGATTCTTACCCGCGAAACTAACCACGCGTCACCCACAACACCGAGCAACGCCGATCCAGGAAAGTGGATACGCTGGCAACATTGATCAGTTGTGGCTGTGAGGACCCATATTAGCCAAGAAGTGCCGCGACGACACACACAGCCTCTACTTCGTGATGACCTGAGCTTGCAAAGCCATCTCCAAAGCGAAAGTGGTGAAGAGAACAGCTGAGCCCTAGCAAACATGAAAGTGTTATGCTTCAAGGTTGGCTAAGTAGCCGCGTCGCTTCAGATCCAGTCCGGGAGTTGCCGATATGACGCGACGCGCGGCACATTTACATGGTGATTATGTCGACACCCCTCAAGGCCTCACCTCCACACTCTGTTTTAACAGAAAACAGATCCCCGACGATATAGACCTCAGACGCCCTTTCACTTCGGTGCACTCTGTTATATGGTATGGCCTACATTGTACCCTCGGAATATGACTTCGCAGACCGCTGCGGCGGTTAAGGTAATCTAATCCTCACATTGCCCAATCTTCAGCCATCTTCAGCATCCTAGTTCGACCCGACGCCAAGGCCGGCCTGTGCGCATAACTGAGCTGTGAAGGGAAGCTTGGTTCGTTCTTAACGAAGGTTTACAACACGGAGTTGGGCGCTATGGTGAGTTCGTAGCCCAGCTTCCGTACTGCTCTCACGGCGAAAATCCTGTTCGATTTACAGGTGGCGTACTGTGTTGATAACATTAAACGTCACAGAGAGTATGAGTGCTTGATACGTTGATTCTCAAACGGGACATCACCCAGTTTTTAGTCATCGTGCTCGGTCCGTGTGTTCATGCAGGTTTTTCATTGTTTTGACACATGTTGCAACGCAGCCGTCGGTCAAGAAAGACTTACGGGACAAAGCCGCTTTGACGCGACTCAAGCGAGAAATCGATTTTTCTTGAAGGCATGTTGCTACCAACCTTGCGGGACCCATGCGGTGCCGACTGGTGGGCGCAGAGAGGCGCAGGACTAACTCAATGTAAGCTGCCAAGCGCTCACTGAAAAGGGCAGTTTGTAGGCTCTTAAAACACCTTTTTGACGTATGTCCCTCGCACGTATGGTCCAGCCCTGCTCAAGACCAACCTTATACGTCCGCTTTGCAGGAGCTGTGCAAGGGGCATAGGGGATATAATCCGATGAGCGGTCTTGAATGTCTCCCTTTCTGCTGCCTTCACTAAGCTTCGGCGGTCCCGAGTCCCGCGGTCCCGAGTCTTCATGGCTCCTGGGGCACCGAAGTTCTTGTTTCTTCGTTTAATCTTCGCGTTGATCGTCATTGAAGAAGCGTTATCACAGATTACGACAAATGCTACATGCGCAACCTCCACGAAATGGGTGAGAGATAAGCGTTATCTCGGGGACGCGGAGTCTACTCATGCGCTACAATGTTCAGCTGTTCAATAGCAAAGGGCAGAGTCCATGTCTGATCGGTGCCTTCGTAATGTCGACGTGTAGCAATGGCAGTGGGTGTTCATGTCCACGTATATGTTGGGTGGTCCCTCATTGATAAAACGTGGACCTCTAGCCTGGAGCGTAGTCTCCGTCAACACGAGCGCTACAGACGAGTATCCTGGGCCAACGGATCCTTCACAGCCTTACATCCCCTGTGCGTGTAATACTGTCGCCTACTCCCTCTTTAGTGCATGCGGATACTGCCAGGGAGCATCCTACATATCGTGAGTGTCGCGTCTTAGTCCCAATTACGCTGAGTGCCCACCTAGTGAACATATTAAGATGGCAAGACTGGATAACAGCTTGCCCAGTCGTCTATAAGCAGACGTGAGCACTGCAATTATCAGGTTCTACACGTACTATACCTGGGCTTACCATCGTGGCAGATTTCCAAGTCAAATCCCTTCTAACACCGCTGTTCCTCAATGGGCGTTCCTTGACGTAACTGTGAGTTTTGCGCGAAAGGTATGTGTATGTCAGGATTAACGCGCATTCGAGACAACGGGAAACTGGAATGCTACGGCTGCCCAAGCGGCGGGTGGTAAGCTGAACATCGCCGAATCTGAAGATGAGCTTCTAAGAGCTCGTGCTGTGTATAGACCTCCCAGAGAACAGCGCGACATCATTGCCCAGTGCCACGACCTCATCGAATCCCGACGCAACGATGAACCTCTCACCATCAAGCACCTTTCAGGTGTCACCCGACCCAACACCTGTAAGCCATAGGGGTTTGAGCGTTGGCGCGATCGCAGGCATAGCCATCGGAGGGGCGGCAGTCCTAACGGCGCTCGCGACCGCATTCTTCATTTGGAATCGGCGGCGCGCCGGATCTCGACAAGGCGTTGCTCCCTCTAGCGTCGACGTGTCACACACTGTCTCTCCATGGTATTCGTCGGACAGCGATCCACGCACACCTCTGAAGTATTATGTGCGTGCTCATTGTTTGCCTTACACTGTGATTCCTCCCTAATTGTCCCTATGAAAGGACCCCAACGACCCAACCACATTTCCACCGTCCTTCGCAACGCTCGGCCACCTACGCGTTGGCCCATCAGCGGGTAGCCCGTCTTCCGATGGACCCACAGTAACGAGCTATTCGTCCAGTAACGATCGAAATAGCAACCCCACGTATTAGCTTATGTCTGTTACATTTGCTATCCATTAGTTATCTTGTGTGGGGCAGTACCATCTGAGCTCCTTATATGCGCTACACGGCCATTTGGCGATAAAGCGACCAAGGGGCCCACATACGACAAAAAAGCATTCTGTTGAGTATATCTGCAAACTCTAACATGAGCTGAAACCCAAAAACACTGATATCAAGCAGCCGCTAATAACGATATCGTCCGAGAGCAATGCACAAGGAGAGAACTACCGTACGGTAAGATACAACAGGGAGAGGTCCGTCCATGCAAAGAGAAAATGTGTCACCGTGACAGGTAAGTAATCGGGTGGGTATTGACAAAACCGGGACACGGCCGTCCCGCGTTAAGCAGCGACGATCGCGTTGGGCACGAACGTCCTACGTAACGTGCGAGGGCTATGCAATGATGAGAAAATGGACATGCTCCGCCCGCAGAGAGGTCTCTATTTATTGAGAAGATTTAGCGTTATCACGCGTACGCGTAGGCTCACGCTGTGATGAATGATAATCATCGGACTCCGCGCCAGAGGTAGGTGGATGTTCCTGATGTCCGCTTTGGCATGGGTACAACTGGAAATGAAATTGTCAGTCCACTAATCACCACTCGACATGCAACCCGGAAAGCATGGTAGGCGTACAACAAAGGAGAAAAAAACAGCTTTATAATGTCAGAGCATGGTATGACGAGCGTCAAACGGAGGCGGGTTCGTTTCTGACTCTGACTATGCGCTATACACAGCAGTAACTCGCAACCAAAGGCAAGACGGGTCAAGGCCAAGAACGAGGAACATACCTTTCCAGGATTGAACAGTCCGTCTGGGTCGAGAGTTTGCTTGATTGTCCGCATAAGATCGACCGTACCCTGACCAAGTTCTTCCTCGAGCCACTTGCGTTTGCCTTGGCCAACCCCATGCTCGCCAGTGCCTATGAGATCAAGATCGAAACATGACACCAATCAGAGAACTGTTTTGGACGACAGACATAGGCCAACAACATACAGGTGCCATCGAGCTCGATTGCGCGCTTGGTTATTCGGGCGACAGCTTCGCGAGCACGCGTGACCTCACCTGGGTCATCGGGGTTGTACAGCACAAGCGCGTGGAAGTTGCCTGTGTTCATGCTCAGAAAGTCAGATCACGTGTTCTGGTTAGTAGGAGACACACACCGTCTCCGACGTGGCCTGCTATTGGCGCAGTGATACCCAGTTCTTTGAAGTATCCTTTTGCGGAGGTGATGAGCTCGGGAAGACGGGATACTGGAACGCTGCGATGAACAAACGAGCATCAGTTCCCAATGTACGGTACTCGGACAAAGTAAAGACGGACCAAACATCGGTGATCCACCCTTTAGACCCCTCCTTGTAAGCCAAAGCAGCAAATAACCCGTTCCGGCGCTCGTCCCATATCTGCTCGTCCTCACACTCAGACTGAGAGAGACGGTATGATGTCGCGCCGTGAAAACGCATAATCTGTTCGATGGATGCTGACATGTGTTCGATCGCCGGATCGTAGTCCGTCTCTGGAGGTCCAGACGTCTGTGAGATTGGTGAAGGTATTGAGGAAGAGGAAATGACTGAGAAGGACGAAGGTGATTGGTCGAACGCCGTAGAGTCTGAGGCGAGCTCGATGGAACCAGTAGATGAGGAGTCCTCCAACGACTGCAAAAGCTGCGCCTCACCCGGCATGGGCAGCATAGAGAACGGGCAGCCCTGCAGCTTCAAGAACAGCGTCACCTGCTCTGGCCACGGTTCGCGCTCCTCGCTGCTCGCAGAGTTGTAGTGGTTCAACACCTTCACGCCGAGTTCATCGATCAACTCGACGCATTCTAACATTGAAGATCGTTATGTACATTAGTCGGGTTGAGAGTATTGGAAGCAACCATGCAAGAGCGAAAAGAACTCACGAATTGCAGGACCCCGGTTCAGAACATCGCAAACTGCGTTCGTCGCTGTTTGCACATCAGGGAACCTCGCGATCGCAACGCGAGTAGGCAGCACCGGCGCGAGGCGGAGCGTAGCTGATGTTTGCAGACCGCGATCAGATTATCCCCATAGGGTGTCGTTGGGTCTAAGGACATACCTTCGGTAACGATTCCCAACGTCCCCTCCGCGCCAATGAAGAGCTTCGTGAGGTCAAATCCAGCCGATGACTTGCGTGCGCGCCGACGCGTCTTGATCACTTCACCAGAAGGAAGCACAACCGTCTGGAGCGGACAAACAGTGTGAACGAAAGCCATCAGGACGGAGTATGAAACATCGAGAACTGACAACGTTGAGTATCCATTCGCCTCGCGCAGTGCCGTATCTCATCGCGTTCGCTTCAAGATGTAGTCAGACATCAGATGCTATGAGCATTGGGTAAGGCGTCACTCACTGCCAGAACAGCCCGTTGCAATCATACCGCCGACCGTCGCATTCCTACCAGGATCGAGCTGTACAGAGTTGATCGCAAAACCATTAGGCACATTGGTCACATGCTTTGTTCTGAAAGGCGCGCATATAGTCTTAGACTTACAGGAAAGAACAAAGGTATGCCTTGTAAGTAGGCCTTACATCAGCTTCAGCCAGCCACCCCAACGCCGAGAACGCGCACCTTTCATCTTCAACTGTTCGTTAAGATCGTTCCACGTGACGCCCGCCTGGCACACGACATCGGCGTCCGACTCTGAAGGTGATCGTTGAGAAGAAAAAGGCATTACAAAGACCGAAGACCCGGATCACCAAGCGGTGATTAGCAAGAGTATACGTGCGGAGATGCTCCAGGGACGCCGAGGAAAGAACGAAGGACGAGCAAGTCGTTTGCGTTCCCCGTAGAGCAAGCGAGCGAATGAATATGTGTGCACGCGTGTGGACTCACCGTTGATTTCCAGTATCTTGTTCAAACCAGAAAGATCCACGCATATGCTTCCCGAAGAAGGCTGGATGCCACGAAATGGTCGTGCGAGAATCGGAACATGTGGTGGGCGGCGGGTCATCCGTGGGCGGATGGACATTGGTTGATTGCGGTTGTGTGAGCTGAGCGGAAAGAAAGCGTCGACGAATGGACCGCGAGGGACTCACAGCCGATACATTGCCCTCCAGGCTGGTCCCACCCGCGTACGGAACGACCGCAACGAGGTGTTTCCTTGCGATGTGAACAACCTTGACGACATCCTCAGTGCTGCGAACGTGTATAACGACAGCATGCGGTTGACCTTGAAGGTGTTCATGGTAAAGTCTCGGAGATGCCACTGAGGTACTCACTAGCAAAGGGGGAGTACACGCTCTGTGCGTACGCAAGCAGCTGCTTGGGATCCGTAGTCACTTGTTCACTGGACAATGCTTCCTTCAACTCCTCGATGGCCTTCGGAAAACTCGGCCCGTGCCGGGGCTCCTCGTCATCTGCTGCCACAACCCCTCCCATTGCCAACACCTCTGCCTCGCGCGTGCGCTCCCATACCGCCGCCCAGTACCCTGCGAAACCACTGAAGAGGGATGCTCCACTGATTAGGCCCAGTCCGATGAAACAAGTTGAAGGACGAGTGAATGTCGAATAAGGCTGGGAAGAGACCGCGCGAACAACTCCGCCGCCCTGTGCGACCCTGCTCGCTTCAATGTGACGTCTTGAGTCGTAGACGCGGTGAAGACGAGCGGTGAGGAGCCGAAGGCGTGAAAACGTGAACGTCATGATCAGGGCATAAGGATGCGGCCGCCTCGACCGAAGCACAATTTAAGTTGAGAAGTTGAGAAAGGAGGTTTCTAAGTTTGAAGTTTGGCTTGAACGAGCGTATCAATTGAATGAGCGACGAGAAGTTAATTTGAAGAGGGAGAGTGGAGAAAAGGAATGTGGGCGTGCCTGTACCTGCGGGCAGCAAAGAAAATGGTTAGGTTATGGTGAAAGGTGCGGACGGACCTGGCGAACGTACATACGAGGCCAGGACGCAGTGTGCGTGCACAATAACGCTGTGTCAGCACCGATGACTGCTCCCGACTGTCCATCTTCGGCTAGCGGCATCAGCATCATCGCTGAAGTGAACTGAGAAAGGATAGGGCCAAGGCAAGATTATTTGGTGTTCAGCACTGATAGCCGTATGTGTGAATGTTGCGGAGCTTGAGTGTGTCTTGAACGTTGAAGCTGAAGCATGACTCGGAAGAGTGCAAAGCGCGTTTCCGTGAACATCACGCAGACATCCCGCGTAACTTCTTGGAGCCCCTGTCCTCAAACTGTCTTTCTTCGACACATTCACGCTTACTACCTAGTGGGGTACATTAGAAAGCAATGTCTTTTTCTCGGCCGATGTCATATCCACCCTTTGGCAGGCCTCATAATTGCAGGATATCACCGCCAACTCAAATTGAATTTCAGAGACCTGGACAAGGCGAAACATCGGCGGCTCATGCACTATAATCCTGCACCTGTTAATAGGTTGTAAATACCCAATTCAAGTTTGTTTAGTACGAACGCTCTTGAATCTCGTAAAAAGGAGGTTGGTTGTAGATCCAGTTGTACTACGCACGAGCAAAACCAGCCTCCGCAACCTCCGCTCAGGCACGCCCTACCGGCCCATATCGGACCGGGGCATTGATCCCGACGTGCCTTACACTTATCATCATCGAGGACGATCGCAGGGATCATCATCGCTGGTGCAGAGCTGTCAACCGAAGTGTTATCCAGCAGACCAGGGCAAACCTGGGCAAACCCGTGTAGGAGTAAATATCTATGCCTTCACGTCACTCAAAAAGCAAGAAGCACACACACATAGCCTTGAATGACCAAATAGTCTTGAATCTCCCTTCAATTTCTTCTATTTGCGGTCCGCGTTTTCGAGTTGAAGGAAGGACGTCTGGTCAAATCAAAATTTGCAGTTCGATATTTTATGTTCTGATCCGCTTTTCCAGGCATCTCCAGCGCAGAAATGCGAACCGAGCCAGATCGACTTGGCACGCCCACCAGACCCCACCGACCACATGCATGCGGGTGAACAATGAGCCAACTCCCAAGCGAACCGGCGGAATCTCGCGTTCAAATGAGGCTCGATCAAGCCACAAAAATTATTTCGAGGACACCCACAATCTGTCAATCTGTCAAACCTTCATTTCGGCCTGCACCTGCCCGCCTCCATCCACAACGATCCGACTGACCAGGACTGACTACGGCGACTTGGGCTTATTCGCCGGCGTCCCAGTATTCTCCCGATGTCGCTCCATAACGTTGACCTTTTGGATAGAATGCAGGGTGATCCCGCCACCCGCACTTTGCAGCGTATGTGCGTGGCGATCAGATCAGCCACATACATAATCATGTCAATCATTAACTTCGACCGTAAACACGATAGGTTAAAACAAACGCCACCAGTTCGCTGTCTAAAAACCATGTTGGTTTAGCGCTTGACCGGAGTGTAACGTCTTTTCAGTTGATAAGTACTTTAATGAGGGCGTGATTTGTGCCGTATCGCGAGTAGCCCATATGGACTTGCGTGCTCATTATTCAGTCAGAGTGAGCGCACCGTACTTATCGGAGTCCAGGAACTTCTACGTGGATACCATGGGTAAGTGCACGAACCCCAGACTATACCCCACTTTCTGAGGAACTTCTCCCCTGGGCGTCGAATTTATCCCCTTGAGTACATAGCTCCGAAATGTTGTGAACGAAAAGTTCCCCGTGTCTCGAAGTTTGATTGTCGCGGAGTTTTGCTTGGAGGCAAGCAGATTCTACGGTGCGTCGAGACCATCAATTTCAAGCAAGCTTGAGTTCAGCCCACAACTTAAGTTACCGTAAGTCTCCAACAATTTTCGTGCTCGCATTTTTTCCGTAGGAGATTACTACCGGCGCGCACATATAGTCATGACGAAGAATGTTCCGAACGGCCCGGGTAAAACGAGCTCAGCCGACCATCACGGCTTGCCACTTGTCGCACGACCACCACCGGGATCACAGACGCCACCAGCAACCACCACCACCACCACCACTACTGAAATTATCACTCCATTTACACGCCAATATCCTGCTTTACGTTAACGTAATGCGACAGCGCTCTCACTCGGCTTAGATCGTGTGCTCTGACAAGTACAGTAAGCCGCAAGTTGCCCACAATCGTCATGATACTTCTTCCAGTAATAATCCGCAGTTTTGCGCCCCCGTAGCTTCGTGTTAGATATAGTAGGATAGATAGCGATCAGCTGTCTTCGATGACCGGCTGACCACTCGACCTTGCCAAGAAGTAGTCAATAAACTGACCTCAAGAAGATGATCTACTGTACATGTCCTGGAGCAATAATCACGCGCTATGAATCATCCCACCGTGATCCTACCCAATAAAATAAACACCGGCACTGTACACAAGCCGAATCAGCGCCCACCCAGACCGGAAACTGAGGAACAAACACGCATGCTATATCCTCGCATGTTTTCCGGATAATAACTTTGTGTTACACCAACGCGGACTTCCCTTTGTCCATGTACAGTATGATGATCGCCACCGGCTCCCGCTACCTAACAGCCTGCCCCGAGGAGAAGCTTGGCAGCTCCAGATTCATCCATGGTACTGTCACTTGTTTTCCTACTGTAGTGCATGTGCCAAGAAAACGAAGCTTCGAGCGCACCCTGATCTTCAACCGACACCGACGCACATACAGCTTTTTATCCACCCCAAAGCTTTGTTACCGAGAACCATTCAATCTGAGCGTTCTAGCACAAGAGCATCGGACGCGCCGTCGAAGGTCATACGAACGGGACTAAACCCGCCCGGCCCGCTGCAGCCGCCAGCCTGCCGCCCTGATCGAATTACCCAAAACAAAGCCATAAAGCTCACATCTCGCTGACAAGTAAAAGTCAAGCTAGAGAGAACTCATTTTGGTAGTCCCTATGACTAGTCCAATCGGCTAAAATCCAATATCAAAACGACAACTGTCATTCAACAAGATATATACATCCTAAAACACCAACACCAAAAAGCTGCCATCAGCACTTATACTATGATGGAGAGCAACGGGTGCAAACATGAGCTCGAGACCTGTTTATCGTACGATATCGTATAAAAGAGGCACGGGCACTCGTCTAGCCACGTCTTCCGTCCATCCGACCCACCGACCTCCACCAAGCAAGCACCCACGTCCCAAAACCTGAATCGAGCCTCGAAAAACCGTCCGCAACACATGCTGACGAGAAGAAAAGAGCAGTCCAGCAGAAAAACAGACAGACAGACAACACAGAAGCAGGTATTAAAAAGACAAACAAATACGAATGCGCGTGATATATGCAGATAATGACAGGAATGGATGGCAGTGACGGGGGGACATGGGTGAATCAAGCGATGTTGGAGCATGCGATTCATGGCTATGTAGGTAAAATGCATGGTGGGTGCAGCGGTTGCGGGTCGAGACGAGATTAGGGACGGCGGGGAGCGGAGGTTCGGAGGTGGGGGTATAGCAGAGTATCAGTACATCGGGGCCCCGGCAGCTCACCATGCGGAGTCGCCGCCGAGACACCGGTGGGCATAGCGTGGGCGTGCATTGAGTTCATCATGGATTTTAACAAAGGTCACCACAGGCGCAACCCTGTCACATCTATCGTCAAGCAGGCGAGAGCAATCCAGTTCAAAGTGACAGAACTGTATCACCAGGTTTTTGCAGAAACGCAATCACCCAGACAGAGCACAAATGAGTGCTCTTTATCGGGGTCCTTTAAACGTATTTCGTCCCCTTTCGCTTCGCGAGAAGGTGTCGCGAATAGATCGAGAACGCCGCGCCAACGAGCACAACGACAGACGCGAAGATGAGCGGCCGGTACCACACATACGTCTTGCCGTTTTGCACGAGAGCGCCCGCAATCGGCGTGCCCGTGAGCAGCGCGAAGCCGATCACAAAAGACGCAAAGCCGATGCGCATGCCAATCTCTTCAACGCCCTGAGAGAAAGACGCAACGGCGGGGGTGATAATGGAGATGACTGCATAGGCGCCGCGTCAGCAAGCTTGATACACGAAAGTAGCGAGGACATGTGCCGACGAGGCAAGACTCACATCCTCCTGAGAAGAATCCGTACAGGATCCCAAACGCGACCGTCCCACCGACGGTCGTCGCAGAGAAAATCAGCCACATGATCCCACCAGAAATGATGGTGCACGGAATCATAACTGCAGGTCAAAATAAAACGCGTCAGCACGCAGCACGGATCATCCGTTCACCCTCGCCCTCGATTCGAAGGAACGCCGAGCATGAAGCGAATAGAACGCACCATTGAACGGACCAATGACGTCGGCCAGAAAGTTAGGCAGCGTCCTTCCGAAGAGCGAAGATGCGTTCATGATCGGGATCTATGATAAATAAGGCACGTAAAAAGAAGCATGGGAGCTATTAGCAAATGGCGGAAGATATGCAAGACGCCGCGCGGACGACCTGCGGGAAACTTTGAAAATAGACTCACGGCGTAGAACGACATCTTCTGGCTCAGTCCGTGGAGCTCCGCGAAGAGCTGGAGATAGAAGACTGCAGCGTGTCAAGTCAATGACAAGGAAATGAGGAACCGGATTTATGGAATCCAGATTTGGAGATTTCCAGACCAACCATACGTGGAGGTTGGAAAGGGAACGAGGCAAAATAGAAGAGAATATGATCAGCGCCAGGTTCAACTGAAGCGCGGGGAGGTAGGGCCGAAGAAATGATGGCGTAACTTACAAGGGAAGAAAAGGCCCCAAAAGACAAGGGCAGCACTAGTGAAACGATGATGGTGTGAGCGATCATCTTACTTGGTTTGTGATGAAGATGGCTCACCTAATGACACACATCCAGTATGGACCGTCCGTCAATATAGACTTGACGTCCACGGGCTTGCTGTTCGGACGGTCCTTGCGCGCGGGTAGACGCGTCTTCATAATCACGTTCGCGAGCGCCAAAAGACCCATGTCCATGAAGGCCGCCGCACTGCGCACGGATGACACATGTCAGCGCCACTTTTCCGAGGCTGGTCCGAAAATCGATAAAGCCAAAAGACAAGAATAGAAGAAGGTTCGTTCCATATGCGCAGTGTTGCCCTATACCATATGGCTGGAACGCAGGACACAATGTGCCCTGTGGACGTGTGTAGGGCCCACCAATACCAGGGATCAGCGTCATCGCCGACGCTGGCACTCGATAGATGGACTCTAATGTGACAGGACAGGTTGCCACGTTGTCCGATCACAGTGGCATTTCCGCCGGTGATGCCGGGACACCACTTCCAGGTCACCCCAGAAGTCGATCCGACTGCGCCAGAGGGCGATCGTGTGCACCCGGGCGTAGTGCGGTTATGCACGGCCGGTGTGCGAGAAAAGAGAAAGACGAACGATATGAGGGAGTGAGATGCAAGCTCACCGGACGCCCCAGCCAAAACCGATCTTGGTGAACAGGTTGTTGAGCATAATAGGGTAAATGACTGCGCCGAGCGATGACCCTGACGTTTGAGGAAACCGTGTTAGACAACGGAGTGATTAGTGCTGAAAGAGATGAAACGTACCTGCAAGGACGACGCCCATCGCCGCCGTTCTTTTCCGGCGGAAGTAATGGGACGTGATCGAGACAGCGGGCAGGAAGAGACAGCCCATAGCGAGGCCCATGCCGACACCTTGCGCCAGGAAGATTTGATAATATTTATGCTCATTTGCCAGCGACAACATGAAGATTCTGTGGGTGTATGCGCATGACCGTAGGAAAACCATCAGCATGCGGACAATGCGTGCATGATGAGAGAGAGCAACAGCGACGACCAAGAAAGGAGGACGTACGAGAAGAGGTAAAGGACCGACCCGAAGCCAATCAGGTGGTGAAAGTATCCCTCGTCAAAGAGCTTGCCGGCGGGCAGACCGCCGGCGAACAACAAGAACACCTGCATGGAACCTATCCACGATATGTCCGACGACGTGTACCCTTTGAGGTACGTCAACTGCCGAGTGCCGACGACGAGGCGCCGACAAAGGATGAATTGGGTTGCATGTTAGCGCAAGCCGGCGGTAGCAGCAGCCACAGGGGGATGGGGAAACGCACCTCATAGTACTCCTGGTATACGCCAAACGACTGCACGGCGCCGAACGTCGTGAACAGGAGACATGCCCTGCATATATGCGCTGAGTTCGATAGTACGAAGCGACATGGAGAAAGGAGAACGCACCCTCCCAAGACGGTGAGCCACGCCTGGAGGCCTCCTTCAGGGAACTGGGGCGGCTGGGGGGCAGCAGTAACGGGCGGGGCCTCGGCCTCTGCCTCCTTGCGTGAAAGGTCTTCACTGGGTGTGGTCATGCCGTCGGTTGCAGACATGGCACTCTCGGAGGCGGTAGACAGTCCTGTCCTGTTCCGGGGTAGGAGTGGGGAAGATGGAAGGGACTGGGAACTGAGGAGGAGCGAGCGGAAGGGAGACAGGCTTGGCTTGGCCTGGCTGGGCGGTAAGGGGGAAGGGGAAGGGAGTGCGCGGGAGGTATGTGGTGCTCTTTAGGGCAACGGGGGACTTCACATAGGAAAGACTGATCTGTTCAGATTCTTAGATGGACCAGCCACGAGTGCAGCGCGAAGAAGCAACTGGAAGCAAGAGCGGTGATGCGACGCTTGCCGGCCCTCGCGTGTGGGGGACTTCGCGTCCTCCATCGGGCGACAGACGTGCCTAGGCTGACGCGCGACTGTATTTTTGGAACCACTTCTCGCTCGGGGAGAAGCGCGCCGCGGATTCAGAAGGGTCATCGTGCTGGCCGCCTCCACCCGCTGTGAATTTATCCCGGCAGAGCACCCGATCAAACAACTTATCATCCATCTCTACGCCACGAAACATCATCCCACCAAACATAGTCGCTATCGCAGCAGATCAGAACATAACAGTCTTCAGAGTAATTTTACACATGACGAGCAGCGTTCGCCGAAACCCTGTTCGCAAGCCTTCGCGAACATCAGCCCCACCGTACACGTTCACTCCCCCACCGCTAGAAGCGTCGATGTTCGCTGAACTCATTTGTCCGATCCAACATGACAGCGTGGCTACCGATGATAATTAATATAACGTGATCGACTTTACCTGCTCGAGCGACACGAACCGGCTTGTTTTCGGGGCTGTCAGTTTGACATTCATTCCCCTCAGATCAACCAGCCCCACCTCCGATTCTCTGGTCAGCCCATCGGTGGCAACCACGGGCCACGCCACCGCCACTTGCTGATTGCGTTGGCCGCCCAGGTGGAGGAGATGCGATGACGAATCCACAGACCTCATGTTGCTTATCGCAAGAGCAGATGCGTCGGGCTATAAACGAGGCACTGGTGCATCGGCCCCCGATTGCAAAGAAGCTTGAGCTTAAAAGGAAGTGCGGCCCTGAATTTATAACGTACGCATAAGGTGTTAAGAAGGCCATAGAACGCCGCTGTTATAGAACAACTCTGTTAGAGAAGATCTTTGATTGGCAACGGCGAGCGAACCTTGCAGCGCCACAAGGTCACGGGCGGGCGCACGGGACCAGCGCGGTGCAAAAGGGAGCGAAGGAGGACCGCCGCAGTTGGAGCGCACGCGGGACTTGCCATACCATAACTGAAGAACGTGTCTATTTGCCAACGCGCTAAGCCAGGAAGAAGATAATGCGACAGGTAGGCGCTTGAGACTTCATAGGATGCAGGCTGCTTCTGCGTTAGCACAACTTCTGCACACGCCGGTGGGTGGCGGCGGTGATGGTTACGACAACGGCGATAATGGCGACAGCGACGGCGACGGCAACAAATCGTGGGTAGAAGCCAGAAGGATGTCGTGACTTGTATTACGCACGCGCAATAAAAACAAAATAGGACGAGCAGGAACCACGGAAGCGGAGAGACAAGTATAGGACAAGCCAGACGAAGCGTTCGACGCGGGCCTAACTTCTGAATTGACGCGGCTTCCGCAGCGAAACCTTCGTGACCGTTCCCAGGCCCGACCGGCGAGCATGAAAAAGTATAGACGAGGTGATTGGCACTGCGCTTCTCGCAAATCTCAACGACGAGGGAAAGAGAGATAATGAACTGGGCCCACGGGTGCCTCGAGGCAGATCGATGTTCCCAGAGCTTTTCTCGTCAGTCGCGAGAGTCAATGAGGACGACTCGAGGGTGAGACGGAATCACAAGCGCCGGTCGTCTGACAAAAGACCATGACGCCGCGGAAGAGATGCATCAGCCAAAGATAGCGTCAGATGCACTGAATACGATTTGCTTCGGTGTTGGCCAAGAGGGCAGGTTGTTCTCGGAGTGACGGACGCCTGTTCCACAAAGTTATGGCATCGACGATAGGCTGGGAGCGAAGTTGTCCCGGCGACGCGGCGTCCGCGCCAGATAAACGAACGTTAAAAGAGCGACGCGGGAAAGAATGCAAAGAGCCAAGCTAAGATGGACGCCATAAGACGGGGGTGCTGGTAACATAACAGCGAGAAGAGACAACCGGCGTAGTGAGAGGGAAGCGGCTTAGTCAGCGTTGCTTTTTCCCAAAATAGAAGGTGGAGGTGTTTTGCGAGGTGGTCGGTGATTTGCAAAAGCGACGTGTTTCGCTGTCAGAACGACGAAGGCTGATGTGTTTAGCCGTTGGCCCCTCGACCCCATGAGCCGGAGGGAGCAAGACCTCTTCTACCTTCGCGCTGAACTCCGGAGGTGTCAAGGACGGATGAAGTTGCGGGTTCAAGTTGAATCGAAACGAAGAGGTGGTGATGGGCCAAGGAAAGGCGGGTGCTGTGGTGGTACCAAATGGGATTTCGGGCTCACGGTACTGGATCGAGGATAGATTGGGTGGAGGCCGAACGGTCGCTGAATGAGTGCGTCGGCCGTAGTTGCGATTTGTTTGTGTGCCTGACGAGATAGATTCGTTCGATTCCTAGGATGGATCGGCGGGGGATTTCTCACTTTGGGCTCGGATGGAACGAGGTGGAATAGGCAAAGTGTGCTGCGTTCCTGACAGCGTAAGCGTCCAGGGGAGAAAGGCGCGTCCATGTTCACGGCGCTTGGGTCAGTTTCGTGCGATGTTGTGCCGTTGCCTCATGCGGCAGGTCGGCTGTGGTCGCAGTGATATGATCTGACGTGCTGACAGGACGGCTCGCATTGCGACTGGCTTGGGACCACGTTTCGGGCGCGTCGTGAGCGCGTGAGCCCAGCTGGTTGAGTGGGCGGATGCGGATGCTTCGAATGGCTAGCACATAAGTAAGCAACAGCTCTCCCGCAAATTCTGTCCTGATCATGATCGACGCCGCTATAAAAAGCCCTCGCTCCCTCTACATCAACGTCCCCTCCTGAGCATTCTCCGACCTCCGAATCCAGTCCTCCTTCCGTCCCGTCTCTGGGCAACCTCCCTCCCTCCCCCGTCATGGCCTCCCAACTCCCCCGCCATCCCCTTTTCACAACCCGTGTAGAGTTCCTCGATACTGACCGTCGCGTCGCTCTCTCCTACCAGCGGGCCAAGTTGCTTATGAGGACATTCAGTACGTTTTTGCTCCGGCTTCATCAATTCCCGGTCTCCCGCATCCTTACCATGCCTCTCGTTCAAAACTCTAGATCTCACTGCTGCTGATGTTCAGCACTGTTCCTCCACGTACTGGGCGATGATGACGGACCCCATCATGGCCTTGGACACTGCCATGTTCACTATCCTCGCCGCACATGTCGGGCTCACGATCGGCACTCTCTCCCGTCACCTCCACAAACGTCCCGACTTTAAACCGCTCATTAACCGTCTGCTCCGATTCGATACTGTCGGCATTTATTTGCTGTCGGAGCGTGGACACGGCTTGGACGCGTTCAATGTCGAGACAACCGCTACCAAGACCGCCGAAGGCTTCGTGATCAATACACCACGAGAGGAGGCATGCAAGTGAGCCCACTTCGCTTCTCGCCTGTCTCTGTATCCCCGTGCGACTAAACGTGGAACCCGTCTCCACCGTTCCGCCATCAGATTCATGCCCGCCTCCACTCCGTCCTTCGGAATCCCCAAGGTAGCGCTCGTCATGGCCCGTCTGATCGTGTCCGGAGAAGACAGGGGCCCACGCTTCTTCGTCGTGCCTATCTGCAACGAACGCGAGATGTACGCAGGCGTGGAATCGATCCGGCTCGGTCCTCGCCCAGGAACCAGCCCCCTCGACTTCTCCATCACCCGATTCAACAACGTCCGTGTTCCCCCCTCCGCGATTGTATCGTCGGATCCAGCCGACCTCTCACGGCCTGTCGCTCCGCTTGCAGCGTGGTGGGACGAGGTCTGGCGGATACCACTTGGCACGCTCGCTGTCACCGCACCGTGGATATCCTCGCTCAAAGCTGCGGCGTTTGTCGCCGGGCGCTACTCTGCACATCGGTCGCTCGTCGGGAAGGGGTCCGAGCCAATACCGATTATCACGTTCCGCACGCAGCAGTGGCCGATAACGCACGCTGTCGCTGTCGCGCATGTGCTCGGCGCCTGGTATCCCCGGGCTGCAGAGATGAGCGCAGATCGAAGTCTTGACCCTCGCGTGCGACATGCGCTCGCCGTGATCGTGAAGACGACGGCATGCCGACAGTTCCAGCGGTGTGTTCCGGAGATAGCAGAGCGGTGTGGTGCCCAGGGCACGTTTGAGCACAATTTCATGGCGCGTACAGAGGTTCGTCATCGTCTTCTCTGTGCCTTTTCTTCGTTCGTTCTAGAAGTGCCACGTGCTTATGCTTCGTCCCTTGCTTAGAACGACGGTAAAGGCGTGATCATTGCGGAGGGCGACATCATGACCCTCTGCATCCGCCTATTCTCCGAGCTCGTCCAGCAGAAATATGCGATCCCGCTGCCAGATGTCGAGTCGTCGATTCTCGCTGCGCACGCACATGGCGTAGTGCAAGAAAATGTCGACTTGTTGCGAGAGTTCCCGGGAGGTCACCGAGATCCCGCCTTCGACGCACTTGTGCTCCCCCAAGCCGAAGCATCGGTCGAAGCGCTTGGGCATGCCCTCGCGTACGCCGCTGCCGCTGCATCGGGACTCCCACAACCACTGCTTGACGTCTATGAGGCTGGTGTCGTGCGTCGCGATCCTGCGTGGTACTCGGAGAACCTCGCCATCACGCGTATGCGCCAACGAATCCGCGAGGACGCGGCAGTCGCATCGGCAGTATCTCATCTCCCAATATACCTCGACACACTGGGCATAGAGGAGTACGTCTCGGCTCCTATCGTCAGCGACGCTGCGTGGAAGGCGTACTATGCGGACATGACCGTTCACACCGGGAGCGCGCCGGCCCCAGCGGACGTTGTGCAGGCTGTTCTATGATTCATTGCATTCTTGCTCAAGTTTCCGACTCCATCTCGATCACCGACCCACGCCATCCGCACCATACCCTGTCCTGCTTCGCGCACACATTCGCACTTGCGCTCGTGCGCATACACCCGCAAACTACCCGCCATCTTGCGCATACATTCGCAACATACCCGGCCATCTTGCGCTGCCATTGCCAACATCTTGCCACTTGCCCACCGCGACGGTCGCAGTCATCGCCGCTATCGCGCCGCGCGCACTCACACCCTGGACCCCATCCATACGTGCTCCGTGGCGACGCCCGTCTCATGGCGTGCCAAGCGGGTGTCACGGTGGGTTGCACGCGACACACCAGCTGCGCCCCGCTCCGCGGTCTTGACGAATATCCTGATCCATCTTTTCTCCCCCCCGCATCTTGCATTGCTACATCATGACGTCGTCGACGGCGGCGGCGGCGGCCGGGCGCTTACGCCCTTCGTACCCTCCCGATGGCGATGGCGACGCGCACCGTCCGGCCCGCCAGGGTCCGTTAGTCTTACTCATCCGTCCACTTGATGAGCTTGATATCAGCGTCACCTCCCTCGACATCGACACTTCCCTTGTTGCTCATCTATCCATTCATTCATGCGCCCGCCATAGGCAACGAATACCGCCAACGGCGACGCCCATCACCCGGAACCACGCTTTCGCCTGTTTTTCTTCTCCGCATATTTGATGGTCTTCCCACTAATAGTGTACGCGACGCTTCGCAAGATATACAATATACTCCTCCTGAGCTCCGGAGGCGTTTGTGCTTGCTTGCCTATTTATGACTAATTGCTGTACCCCCGACCTTGCTCTCTGATGTACCCTGCTGATCTTGACGGTTGATATCCCTTTCGTATGTATTGACCTTGTGCGCTATCAAGCTTCTTTCTGCGCGTCATTCAAGTACGGTATATGCGCCACCGACGTTCCTGACGTGGGCACCTGGCCTTTTACTGGATGCGCCAAGCTGCGAGCATATGCGCTGAAAAAAGTCGGCATCTGATTATCGCTGGATTTCCCTCCGCCGCAATGATCTATCACTTCTTTGTATTCTCCAGCTGCATGCATTGAAAAAAAAAATAGTCAAAATAATGTCGTCCACCGATCGCCGCGAGGCGCACACGCGCCACCAACGACGCCGCAGATACGAACGAGCCCAGGCTGATCAATGATCTGCAGCCACCCCTTGCGCTTCAAGTAGCCGAGAACGCGCGGCAAGAACGAAGCGCGAAAATTCTATTGCATGCCAATCGAACCTTAGGAACCACCAGTGGCGTTCCTTGGCGGCGCGGATCCCTACCATGTGCATGTGGTGCCAGCACCGATAGCGCTCTGGAGAAACTGTTCTCCCTTGACGCATGTTGTAGATCACCTCGTCAATCAATATATCCAAATGTTCAATCTCGGCCATGGGTCGCCGTGTGTGGGGTGGCGGTCGTGTATGTAGATCGGTTGATATGCATGCACGTGTCTTGTCGAAATATTGTCAGAATTACCAGCCGTCCGCGTCATGTCTCGGCGTACCATATTTTTGCCGACGTGTGTCGAGCACCGGGTTTGTGGGATATGTAAGCACGCGACGATGGCGTTGGTCAGCCCGATGCCGGGCTCGGGGAGTCAGTGACCGGTATCGTCGCTGGTATTAGATAGGCACGGGGATGACGTCGTGAGGTAGATCCCTGTAGATCCACAGTAATGTTGCCCCGGAGTGAGCGGGGCACGCGTTCGTTCGGCGTGTGCGTAGTGTGCATCGGGAAATGGGCATAACAGTGCGCACGCACATGCGACACTGGTGTTCCTCATTGCTGCGCATTCTTCCCCTTCGATTTAGTTTCACGGGGCGTGCTGCTAAAAAAAGGTTCACATTAATGTGGTTCTTGGCCCATGGGTACGGGCCACTCTACGTCGGCATGGAGAAGACGCACCACACGTTCTCGCCCAAGAAATAAATTGGCCTTAAGCTTACTCGAGTTGGACTTTGAATGGGGTGCTGCAAAACTTCTCGGGCACTGGTTTACGGATAAAATAACCGTTTGTAATGGTCAGTCAGGCCCAGGCCCAGTCACTTGGATTGACACAGGGTTAGACTAACCATGGAGTTCTAGCGGCTCAAGGTTGTTCTCTGAGCAGTTTTGTGTTTATACTCTTGAATCATTGATATAATATGGCACAGCTGTCTCGGAGCTACCTACATGAGCATCATCCCAAAAGGTACTCGTATAGAAGGGCGAGTCACGGTTTTCTACTGTCATTATGTCCTCGGTGTCGTCATCGTAATATTCCTCCAAGCTCTCATATGGTGGCACTGCGGTACCCGTGGAACTATTGGTCTGCTCGACATCTCTTGTAACAAAGCGAGCAGTTATTGACAGTTGCGCCCCAAACTCCCTGACCTTTTCCTCGACATGGGCTGTTGACACTGTTCCTGAGGAAGAATGGACTACCAAGCGTGAAGCCCGGAGGAAGCACAGGCACGTGGAGTAGTATATGATAGAGGCAAGCTGGGTACTCTGAATGGTAATGAGCGTCGATTCTGGTTCTCAATGTAAAAACCTCACCTGAGCGATAAAGGCATAAACTACCTTCAACTTACACGATAACGTTACAATGATCATCACTAGTGTAATGTCAATTATCCACGAGAAGCAGGTGACTCTGATTATGATCTCCGAAACGAGAGTCGATCTGTAGGCAAGCGAACATAGGATGGTTGAACGAGGGAAAAGGCCGGATACGTAGAGCCAAATCATAGTGGATACTATAGATAATCGTAAGAGCTCAACATGACACAGCTATAGAGTAGAGTTCAATTACCTGTACAAAATATATGTGTTGATATTGCGAGGCTATAGGCAGCCAGGATCCAAGGCAGGACACTACTGTTATCCAGCATATGCCCTCCCAAAGACCTGGCCGCTTTTGAGATTGTGAAGCCGACGATGCCTTCACTTCGCGGCAGAACGTAGTCAGCACTTGAATGCTTTGATTTTTGGGGACCTACCAATACACGAGAAATGTAGTGCCAAGGGAAATAGAACAGACCATGAACGTAGGATAGCGTATAAGCGCCAAATCTGGTCTAACGTGAGCTCATTTACTTAGTCAGAAAGACCGGTGCAGGAGAAAGCGTACCGCGACTGAGTTGTTGATTAGAATCTGAAACAAACTACAAGAAAAGCATGCAAGGTCAAGAGAGCGAGTAAACGGGGTATCATCTGCTCCATGAAATCCGACATGAGCGCTAATCCACAGCCGTACAGTAGCAAGGACAAAATGCTGTAATATCACATAGATAAACTGGCAGGTCCTGATAACTTTGCAAAGAGAAACGCACGCTGGTCCCGATCGCACAAACCAGTATTGCAAGAAACTTTTGTACGTGTAGGCGACCGGATGGGGCCCCGCGCAAGTACCTCACGCCCTGGGTGAGTGAATGCACTGCTTGATGAGTAAAAACATCCAAAATTTGGCGACTTCAGCGCACACGTACTGTATAATCTCATTTCGATGGAGAAGGTAGCAGCCGCAAGTCCGTCGAAATATGGCATTAAATGTATGAGGAAAAGTTTCGCAAGAAGCGGCCATTAGCACACAGATCCAGTTAGGACGGGTCGCGCGATGGTGGCTGTCTCATTGCCGACGAGCTCGTTTTTATGCACAAATTGCTCCGCGAGCCCAAGAGAGGGGTCACTAGCCGAGGGCTGTCAGACAAACAGTGGATGTAGAGGACGTGCATACCGTTGGTCCGGGCCAAGGGTAGTGCTCATAGTCCTCGTACTTGCGCCAGAACTATTAGTCATGAGTATAAATGATGCCAATTATTTGGATACCTGTGGGAAGGTCCCCGAGGTTGATTATTGGAAACCCTACTATCGCTATTGATAGCCTCATGGTGATCACGGCTTGCTGTAAATGTGCACTTTCGGACGTTACAAGGGCTATGTCAGCGGATGATTGGTTAAGCATCAGGGAAAGTCATTTCTAAATTTGTACGCCCTTCACGCACAGGCTCCGCCTTGAGCGTCAAATTTATGGTTGCTGTACAAGTCGTCTCCAAGAATGTTCCTCCACAAACAAGAGCATGGGCCTTCAGTGGGCCGTATGATATGCGAGCTTTCCAATGATCTGCCAGGCTCCTCAAACCCCAGTCACACCTCTTTTGATGCGCGCGATGTACTAGATAACACCAGTATCATGAACAAAGGTCAGGACGAGCGCCAACCGGCTGCCTTGCGTCTATAAAGGTGAAATAGCTTCGAGCATGAGGCACACATACCGTAATCACGCTACTATAAGTGTATTCATCACGGGATTCATCGTACGATGAGAATCTGTTGGAGTCGTTCTCGAAGCGTTCACGATTGTATGTGTTCGCCGCTCAAGTCGCCGCTCGATGAGTTTCGCTACTGCGCGGATCACGTCGTACAGACGTACCTGCTTTGAACAGCCTCTCGGTCAAGGTACGTGTTTCGGGACCCTGATGACTTTCATGTTGTAAGCTGTGTCAAAACATGGGCTCTCTGGGAACATCGATGACGGCGCAGGGCCAAGCACTTGGGATTCAACCCAGTGATCCTTTTCACAGATCCAAGCACCATTGTCCCTAAGGATGAGGCATATAATGACCAACTAGTCAAGGGGTTCCTGTGCAGAGCTGTAACTAGATTTGAGTCATAGCGCTCGTCCTTAAATGTAACGAGATGAGCCGTCACCTGTCCCACTTGAGCCCAACGAATTTGCTCCTTTCCGTCTCTTTCCTATCCTCCTTCATGCATAGCCCTTATCAGCTCCATCGCACTCCTATGAGGAGCGGTGTTCTCCTCAGACTCTCATCCAATGCATCATGAAGTCGTACGTGAAAAGACTGACCGAAAAGAGCTCTCAGGGGGTTATGGGGAAAGGAAAGAACCGTGGGAACGGTTCAACAGCTGCACGTGTGCGCATAGTTCATTTCCTCTACTCCCTTGCCTTGTCCCTCTCACGACCGTCCTCGTCCATCGCCCGACCTAAGGCCTAATCCCTGTTGCATCATGTTCAGGCAATATCTTATGTATCAAGAAGATTGCTCATAATACGTATGGATGATCTGACTCACTACAGGATGCGCCGGAAGATTGATGTTCCTAGGTGTCAACACAAATGCATATCCCGCGACACTACCAGCTATCTCAGCGAGGGTGGCGACAACTCAGGAGTTATAACGTGGCGAAAACCACGTATACTTACACATCGAATCAACTCATACGTGCTATGGTTATCGTGGGCTGAAGCAAGCTCGCCGCACACTAGGGCGCTCGACAGCGCCGGCTTGACGATGTGACATGCGGCAAAGTGGCCGGCTTCTTATTATCTAACTCCTTTCCTATGGTTTATCCTCAGGGATACTCATTCAGGGGCACTTGACCTCGACCGGCTGTCCGCGGTACTTTTCACTTCTGCCTCGGATATCATGGATCATGTCATCGACGCGTTCCAGGATCTCCAAAACGTTGTTCTGGGTTGGAACCAGGCTCGGGCCGTGGTGAACTTGGCCACGCATGTTTTACTAATCGAAAACCTGCACGGCATGGGCATCCAGTGGCAGATACTCCTTTAAGCGAGCGAATTCGAATTCTGGAACATACGTAGATGACTGATAGGTTCACAGATTTTTGGTGTCGTGCATGTAGTCTCAATAACATAGTTTGTATCGCCGTATTTTTATGCCAACCTTATACTTGGCGACGGTGATGTAAAGATGCAAAGCACCGCGTGCATTGTACAAGTCATGTCGCACGCGGCTTGTTGCTGTGTGTCGTTTGCCTCACTTTTATCAGTCACCTGTTCCTAGAGGGTAGAATGAGCATGAATATCAATCAGTGTTCATTTCAAACTGTAGTCGGCAACAAATTTAGCACTGAAACCGCCGCCCATGTACAGGCACGTCTTGACCACTTGATGTCTTTTATTCAACCGTGGCTCTTGTACGTCGCCTTTGTTCTCGGATACCGCAGAAAACCCGACTCTACAGCGCCAGCAGTATTAATCGAGGGTCCGTAATCTGAGAAATCACAACACGTTCTGATAGATTTGCTAAATCAAGTACCCGCCAAGGGCCCAGGGCAAGTGTTCCTTTCTTGACGGCCGCCACACGGGTCCTCTGGTGTCCATCTAAGCGTTCGTCCAGACTGCTGAATTCACCCTTGCTGATTATTTTCACGAGTACTTTACCTCAACCCGTATGTTTCAAAGTCAATGTATGCATTGTTCTGACCTTCGAGTATAACAATTATGTATAAATATGTTGTGATGGGCGCGCTTTGGAAGGCACCGTTTGTTTGTCTATGGTCACTCTCAACAGCAATATGCGGCAAGCATGGAAGTGTTCGTATTTATCCCAGGTCTCGGGGCTGCTCAGTCCCGAGAAGAGAATGGCTCCTTGCAGAAGCCATGCTTATTCATCTAACTCACTTTCAATCAAGTTGCCGCCAGAACGCCGTCAGTTACCGCACCATGTGCTGCAATATAACAATAGCTATAATCTGAATAAAGTGTGTATTTTAGATTTTAGGGCCCCTAACAGTTATCTGTGGAATATCTTCGTTTATATAGATCTCATGTCCCTGACTTTATAATCTCGCTCTGGGTGCCTTGATAGACCAGCATCTTTGGTGTATTTTGGACACATCTATCTGAGATACGTCTGTCACCGGAAATATAGGGATAATATACGGTCCCATGGGCCGTTTGTAACGTGTTCCAATCTGTGCATATTTCGTTTCCTCTCATTCTCTTTCGGTTACTAGGTATGTGTTGAGTTATTCTGCAGAACTCAAGAAGTTGAACACTGAAATGATATGTTATGGTAAACTTGTTCTGTAAGTATCCGCGCTTCAAATACATGTATGACGGATAGACTCGCCTTTGCTTTTGGCACCAGCATAATTGACGGTAAAAATACTCTCCATATTTGTGGTTTCAGAACTAGGACACGGGTCTTCGTGCCTGGTGTTTTCATCAACGTCTCACGTCGCCGAGGACCCCATTCAAGGAACGTGCTTGCTCATGAAGCAAATTATGGCGCTCATGACCCCCGGTTTCTCTGCAAGCCGTGTGATCCAGTAGCTGATTGATCTCACAATTGTTTGCGGAGAGTATAAAGTGTCTCCCAGTTCAACGATCCTCTCCAGCAACCCGCCGCTCTCTTCACTCAGCTATACACTCAGACACCCAACCATGCGCTTCATCGTCTCTCAACTCGCGATTTACAGCATCGCCGCAGTCATGCAAATTTCCTCCGTCGTCGCCGACAGTGGATTTGGAGAATCATGCTCTAGCATTGAGATCTCGTACACCACCCTGTCCGCAAATTGTGCAGAGGTTGACGGCTCGGTTGAGGCCGCGCAAATTGACCTGTCTACGTGTATCGGTAACAGCAACGGCCAGTTGGCTTGCGGGTAGGTCTCCTGAATTATGCTTTCCTTCGCTCTTCTGAAGCAACGCGGTCATACAGAGTTGAATATCAGGAAACATGCTCTGGATGTGACTATAGCGGAACAGTTTTGTATTGCGAGTGCACGAATGACTCTGACCAGCCTGTTTCTACGTCAATCGACCTCAGTAAGTGTGAAACTTGTTCAGAAATCTATCACAGATTAACATAAACCTCATAGACACTTGCATTGGAGACAACAATGGAGAGCTCGTGTGTTAGCGAGTGGAGGTGCTTGCATGAAATGAGAAGCTTTGACGGAAATCATAGGGAACCATGGTCTTTTTTCTTTGGGAACTTCGGTAGCTAAATTGCAGTGTGTAAGGGTGTTGGACTTATAAGGAAGATTTTTGCCGCGTACGCGTTTGGGGTCACGAGGTGACAAAGACAGGCAACGGCAACTCCGGTGCACTGGTCGTGAGAAACCAGAAGTTTCCCATGCAGCAGTGGCAGCTTAACGGTTTACCGCGAAAGGGCTTTGCCTTAAACGCTCGCCTCTTACAAGTCATGGAGGTTAACTTTCTTTCATGTAGCTCTCACTTCACTTGGCGCATTGAGAAGTGTCAAGTCAGTGTCTTGATATCAACTTGTTATCATCCAAAGTGGAGGCCTCACGACTTTCTCGACGCCCATTAAGTAACCGACCTAGGTGAGATACGGGATAAGGGTGAAGAAAGCGTGACACTTGGTTATGATGACTAGGTATGGGTCATTTGCGAGAATCACCGAACCGGCACTTGAAAAGGAGCTTAGGTTTCTCGTCCCTCGTAGCTTCTACCATTCCCGCTCCCCATATTAGATACTAACCCATAGTTGCCAATAGTCCGGTTCGGTATGTGAGGCTGAAATGATCACTTCACTTGTACCTGATGGCATGCAGTCACAGGTACATTGTTTGGTCTCGGCAAAGCCGTGGCCGATGCAGCAATGAGGAAAAGCGGCTCGGTAATCGCCACACTGCGCAGATCAGAGCTCCTCGCCGAACTCACACAAACGCGTACCATTCCGACAAGCTTCTTGCCATCGAACTCGATGCGGCCGACAGACGCGCCGTTAAGGTAGCATTTTCCAAGGCCCAAGGTAAGTTTGGGCACATAGACGTCGTGTACAGCAACGCAGGTGCAGTCAGATTTGGCGAGGTTGAGTCCACGGGCGAGGAGACCGCCCGCTCGTTTTTGGAGGTTGATTTCTGGGGAGCTTCGTACGTTTTGAGAGAGGCAATAAGGTTCTTCCTCGAGGTGAACAGACCAATGGGTGGGTAATGCTACAGGCGTCTTCGCTGGCGGCAGCGCAAGCCCTTCTTGGATTGCCGTACTATTCTGATGCGTAGGCTGTTTTATCATTTCATTCATGCAGACGACTGAGTCATGATGTCATCTCGGAAAGGCTGCGCAGCTGGTGAGAGAACCTGTGTACTATCAAGGCGACTAAGGTTGCGCCTAACTCTCGCATTGTAGATTTGCTTTGGGATCTCGGCGTGAAAAGCATAGGCTACTGTTTGATGTAAGCAAAATGCCACTGCAAATACATACGAAGCAGAGTTAAGCGATTAACGGAGGCCAATCCATCAATGTATCACGAGCTCGATTGACGTGTGATCCGGTGTCGACGTTTTTACTACGCCGCAACGGGGCGCCTCCTATCTGACTTCGACCATCTTGGCCCCAATTTCAATCTCGCAGTCTGAACACTTTGATATCTTGCTTCCAATCTTCCAATCTATTCCCGAATTGTACACGATGTTCGTATTCATGATTTCGTGCGTTAAAAACTCATCTGTTCTAGCAGTGTATGGCCAAACCGACATGAACTGGGAGTACCAACGCCCGCTAATGCCAGTCTCATAGTAAAATCCGTAACCGCAACGTCCTTGATGATGCTCAGAATACAGAGATCCTCAGGACACATGGATTCATATCAGAAGTCAAGAAAGACTCGGAGCGTCAGTTTACCACTAGAACCTTGAGGTTTGTTCGCTCCGATACAAGCTTACATTTTACAGCTTAGCTCGCGCGCGGCCAAAGCACTTCGGATTGGGGAACTAAGGTTGGTATGCGTAAAGGAGAGAAACAACGTTAGGGGTCAAAGATAAAAAGTTGAAACGTTGAAGATAGGGACATTGGTGGAGCGAGCACCGGCCAAGTGAACGCAGGCGCGGTCTGAGCTCTAAGTCGTAGTTTAGACCGAGCATTCGTCCTGGTTTTTATGCCGGAAAGAGACGGGGAACAACCTTAGCTTGAACCACTATCATCTCCCCACCCTTGTTTTCCTCGTTTCACAATTATCCCACCACCTTCCGCCTCCCTCACCTCATCGCACATCATCATGAGCTTCACCACGTTTTTCGAGGACATCTTCGGCAGTGTCCTCGTCGAAGATGAGTTCGTCGAGCAAAGCAAACGATGCCCCAAGGATTGTGAGCATTGCTCGCATACGATCCTCATGCAGGAACTGGAGATTCTGGCGCTCCACACTCAGGCTTCTCAGTGTGAGTCAAATGTGTCAAAACGAATCATGGTAACGCGAACTGACGAACACACCTGCCACGTAGCCAAGATAGCCGAGGAAAGGGACGCACTGCTCGTGCGTGTCGCCGAGCTCGAGGCGATCGTGGAGAAGAGCGAGCAGGAGCAAGTCCAGGTCGAGGTCCAGTGTACCCAGAGTACGTACTTCGGCAGTCAACTCGAGACTATTATCGAGGAGACCTCCGCCGAGCTCGAGGCGGATGCAGAAGGCAACATCACCATTCTCGCATTGCAGACGTGCAACCTGCGAGAACTGGAGCTGGTGCCCAATGCTCCTCCGAGCGACGTCTCGGTCACCTCGGACGAAGATACCTCTGGCGTCATGGCCGACCTTTCGTCCCTCCATCCGTACTCTGAACCGTTCACCCTCGACGGCGCAGAGGCGGCGGCCCTCTTCGCATCCTTTGCCAAGTACGACCCCATTCTCGCTGATGAGCCGTCGATCCGCCCGCCACCGAACGGAGCTACGGTTGCAATCGGCAGCCCGCCGATGAAGTCGGTTGACTTTTGGAACGAACGCGTTTCCGAGGAAAGGCACGAGTTAGCGGATACAGTGCTGCAAAAGATCTGGAAGAAGCCGCTGGAGCCGCAGTCACGCGAGTTCTCTTTGGAGCGCGGGAGGAAGGTGATGGTCTTCGATGAGAGTGCATCTGAGAACGCGGAGGCGGGCAAGGGCAAAAGCAGGGGTGGAGATGCGGGCGCGCACACGTACGAGATGATGGCGGTTCCAGGACGTCCGCATATGATACATGGGGACTGGGACGCGCCTGATTTCAGCGAGGACGAGGACGATCACGGGCGCTTTGATGACGCCTTCGTGTGGATGCAGCCCGTTGACGAGGCGGCGATAGGAACACTCGGGCCATCTACCCTGGTTAACATTCTGCAGGGAAACGCGGCCCGTGTTGTTGCTACAAGGGAAGAAGAGCCAGCAAGGATGAGTGCCCCGTCGACGCCGTTGAACGTGGTGGCTCAGGCGAGCACTAGTCGGGGTCAACGACGGGACGCGGCAGGATCCGGTGCGCCTTTCTTTGCATTTGTTTGTCGTGTTCACGCCACTGACCCGCGCCCTTTTCTCTCCTCTCTTCCATGTGTCCTTGCAGCAATAAACCCAAAGACTCCAGCCCGACAGCGACTTGGCGAACCAAAGACCCCAGCACGGCAACGAGTCCGCGAGCGATATGATGCTCAACCGTCTTCCCCACTGGCGCGTCTTCCTCAAGAAACCGGAGCATTCATACCGAGTCCGGAGCGGGCCCTCGATATGTTCGAGTCAGCCATCCAGATTGGACACAGAGAGTGGCAGAACGATCGCCTGGAGCCTACCGCCGAATGTGCGTTATCATATGCTATCCTTATATCTTCCATGTCTCACTTACCATTTGTGGCCCAGTCCTGATTAGCGACTCAGAAGCTGCGACGTCCACCCCTCGCGAAACCCTCGAAAGTGCCGCATTCCCTACACCTTTTGACCTGGAAGGAGTTCGGGATATGGATATGGCATCTGTCTTACCAGCCCTGACCATCAATGATGCGACCGACTTTCAAGATGTGTCTAGTAGCTCGTCGTCCGTTACCTCGGCAGAGGTCTCTGGCGATGCTGCTTATGTGTCTTCCATCTCAAACGGGACTCAGGATATGGACATGACATCTATCGTGCATGAAAACTTCGCCGATGGTGACGTGTTCGTGCTCCAGAGCGAAGAAGCGAGCGAGTGCTCAAACGAGGAGTTTTCGGACGCCTCGTTCTACTCTGCTTTCGAATCTCCCTCGGATATGTCATTTGACTCCTACATGAACGAAAGCTCGGATGATTCCGCCGACTCAGACGAGGATGAAGGCTCAGATGCCTCGTTCGACTCGAACAGAGACGAATGGTCGGATGATTCATTCTCCTGGACTGGGGATGAGCGCTCAGACGACTCCTTCGTCTCAGCCAGAGACGAAGGGTTCTCGGTATACCACTCATTCACCCTAGACTCTCCCGACTTTTCCGGCATCGACTCCATTGACGATCCGCTCGCAGCGCCCCTGGACCCCCGTGACCTCGAGCTCGAGCCTTCTCCCTCTCCTTCTCCCGCTCCCTTTCCCTCGTCTTCTTCCGAAGAAGGGCAGGCACGGTCGCTCAACACCGTCGACTGGCTCATCGCCTCCCTCAGAACGTTCACACCAGCAGAGCTCATGAGCTTCTCACGGCGTATCGTCCAGCCTCCGCGCCCGTGGTGGCCGCATTACGACCTGATCATCGCGTACCAGGGGATGAGCCCGGAGGAGTTTGGGGAGATCGCACAAAGGTTGTTGATGGAGCCGCAGGTGTCAGAAAAACCCATGGCGACTATTAGATGTGAGTTCTACTTTTTGTTTTCGGCGAGTGCGTTCGGGACATTGTGCTAATTGCGTGTGTTTGATAGTTTATGCTCCCACTCAGATTTAGAGTGCTCGATTGCGCTTCTCTATTGTGCTCTGGGTTGGCTCTGGGTTAGATCTTCTTCTCGCTCTTGTGGTCTTGGGTTCTTGGTCTTCTCTGCGGTGCTCTGAGTCGAAATCTTCTTCTCGCTCTTGTGGTCTCGGTGTTCTTGGTCTTTTCTTCCTGGCTCTGGATACTCTGCTCAGCGCTGACTAATCGACCTCTACACGCTCCAAAACTAAGCAACCGGAATCCGGGAGTGTGACGCGCGTCACTTCCGGATTCCAGTTATTTAGTTTGGGAGCGTGTAATCGACCATACCTACCTCTCGTCCTCTCCTAATGGTCTCTAGCTCTGGCTTTTACTAATCACCACTTGCTTTCTGATGACGACGCTGAACCTTTCACTGATTTATAGTCACTATTCATTCATTTATACTTCCGCTCCTTCACCCTCGAGTCTAAACAGCGAAACTAATTCGACTTTCGCACTACCCTTATCAAATCTCAGCACATCTTGCGCACTGGTCCAACGTCTATATCTCCATCAGGGTTGTCGACACCCTCGATCGCGAAAGGACGTCTTGTTTCTACCTAACCGCGCTTATTTAGATACTCGTTGAAGCAGCGAGGACCCCTCAATTCACACGGCTAATCCGTGTTTGCCGGACGAGGGCCGCCCCGTTTTGTATCGTGGCTGTATATGACCGCGATGTGTTTTCTTGTCTCTTTTTCTGTGGATTTTGACATCTTGCGATTTGTGCTGCTAACAGAAGGTTTTCGAGTCTACACGCTCCCAAAATAAATCATTAGAGTCCGGAAGTGTGATGCGCGTCACTTCCGGATTCTGGTTATTTGGTTTGGGAGCGTGTGTTTGTGCGTTACATTAGTCCGTGCGTTGTATGTGCGCGCCGTGTGGGATGGCGCTGTGTAATAGCTGTTCACAATCGTTCTGTGATATAGATATATTTGTATAAATACCTACGTTTAATTGTGCACAACCGCATTTTATCGCTCGGCTCCCAGATAAACGACCGTGTGTTAGTTATTAGATACTTAAGGTGTGGGATTTAGCGCTCATGGAGAACATAGGGAGACCTTCGCACATCGCATTCAACCAAGTCTCGCAAATCAATTTTACCATAGCTGCGCCGCAGCCTAAGTCATCGCCTTCATCTAGCTATCGAGTTTCGAAGTCAAAGCCTTTCTGTTATGGGTATGTTGAACCACGTCCGGACATTACGAGAAGGCTGATGCAGATGTCGCATCGTGTGGCTAAAGCCAATCCAGTGAGTGGCTATAGCTGTGTTCGAGTTGTGATGCCTCGAACTCGCATAATCCAAGATGCAGTTCACTAAATATCAAACAGACGGATAAACCCCACGAACCGTAACCAGAAATTTCGCCATGCGACTACTGGCAAGTGGCTTGTCGTTGACTTCATGTAGAGACCTCGAGCTGATGCATCCAACGGCGACGTCCTTGCGTTATATCTTGGTATAATACCTTGACACAGCTCGCGACATATTGTACATGCTATACATCTCATCAGATACGGGTTTTATCATTAATACTGTATATCGCGTCGTACATCCTGTGTAATACTCTGACATCTTTGCCGTCACCTCAAATGTCACTACAGATGAAAACGGGTGTTATTCGTATAGTGAGACTCCCAAGTGGAACTATGCACCACAGGCGCCTAGCAGCTATCCACCCGACATTAAATCAGAAAGATCGTCGAGCTCTAAAACATTGTATCAATCTTGCCCACTCGCTGTCACGTAAGGTTTAACAGTAGGTAGTTTAAACACTCACCCTTAAAGATCCACTCAAAACAAGCCGAGCAGAACATAGCAGATCGGTCCGACTTGTATCTGCTGTTATGAACATCACAATCATCGCTGGAAACGAAGTCATAACCAGTTGATCTCGAATCGCTGGAACCGCGAGGAACCGGTCCGCGGCGTAACGGTTTGTAACCATGGAGGCGTTTTCTGTGTTTCGTAAGTGCAGATGGGTCTGCAGTGCGATGGGTGCAATCAGGGCACTTTTTTAGCTTTTCTCGCAAGCTGAAAATGTAAACGTAAGAGGTGGGTAGGATCTCAACTGGGAGGAAGGATATTTTAGTCTGAGACTTACTGAATTGCTGATTCGTGAGTTTCTGTGGCAGAATGCTGTTTAGAGCTGAACACGCATCCCTCATAACCGCATGGAAAACGTTTTGGCGAGCTCGTGTTCATCTCTGCTGTTTATGTTCGTCTTTACTTCTGGAAACAGGTTAGCATTTATACAACTAGGGCTTTGCGCATGTGTTTTGATCCTTGGTATGTTGCAACTCGCACCCACTGGATGCACAGTAAAGTTTTTTAGGGCAGAAAACTGTGGGAAAACAGGAAAAAAACCCAAATTGTTTTCACAGTTTTTCAGGATGTAATACTGGATAAAAATCTGTGATTTTCTCACCATATGTGGTGGATAAAAATCGGTTGAAAACTTTGAAAAAACTGGATAGCATCTAGCTAAAATGTGCGTGCTTTTATTCTGGTTTTTATATAGTAAATGCTTGAAGTTTTCACAATAAAAAACAAATATTAATGACAACAAAAACAGGGAGGTACAAACTAATTTTTGTTTAGTTTTCTTGGTACACTATTTGAGAGATAACTAAATATGAATACATCAAAGCTATCCAATTATTGAGGAGAAAAAATCAAAAGAAATAAGGGAAAAATACAAGAACACTT